TTTGATTTTATCATATTTGATGGCATGGGCAGCTATTTCAAAAATAACAAGATGTATTATAGTAGCCATTATTGATTTCCTGTTATCTTGTTTCCAAGCCCTGGATAGCTTTGTTTTCTTCTGATTGGTTTCATTCTGCTCTGTTTTGTTTGATTTTATTGTCTGATGATATAGGCAGCTACTTTGAAGATAACAAGAGGCATTATGGAAGTCATCACTGATTTCCTTTTATCTTATTTTGAAGTCTTGTATCGCATTCATTGTTTTGTTTTGATTGGCTGTTTTCAGTTTTATTCACTTCAAAACAAAACAAAAAAAGTGGGCCTGGAAGATCATCCCACTGCCAGTCACGACCTCCAACCCCAAACTTCACTGTGACTCCGCAGCACCCCAACCAAGGGGCAAACAGGAGGGTGGACACCGGCTGAGGAGACAGAATTCAGTCCACCAGCACAGAAGGAATGTGAAGCAGGGTCAGCAGGCTCCACACCGTGCATCAGTCACCACGGTGCAGGAGGAAGTGTGCTCCACAAGGGGGCGAAGCTCCACACTGTCTCTCCTCTCCTCAGCCTCCCAGCTGCACCCCATCCAGGACAAAGGATGGCTCCCCTCCTGCAGGGAGGGCTGCAAGAGGTGAAGCCCTGAAAAGCTTCCCAGTGTCACCACAGAGGTAACTGGGGCTTTCGAAACATATAGCAGATTCGCTTAACAGAATGGTCTGGATCAACCAAAAAAAACTAGAGGGCCTTATTCAATGACATGAAGAGATTTTGTTATCAATTAAGTAAAATGGGATTCTGTAAAAGAAAAAGTACACATAACATGCTCCTGTTTTGCTTAGATATATTTGTAAAGCTAGAAGTACATGTGCACACAGATATGTGTTAAGAATGTGTTAAACCATGTAGAAAACACAGCAATTCATCTCCAGATGATCAAATTACAGTGGTTTTTTTCAGATCACATATACTCTCATTTTTCCCAATAAGCACAAATTGGAAGCAGAAACAGGCTGTAATTCCAGCACTCCGAAGGCTGAGACAGAAGGATCACTGCAAGTTCAAGGCCAGCCTGGGCTACAATGTGAGTTCAAAGTCATCCTGAATTGCATAGTAAAATACTGTCTCAAAAAAAAAAAAAAAGAAAGAAAGAAAGAAAGGAAAAAGAAAAAATAGAAGGCAAAAAGTTCTTTCTCAAGCAAGAAGGGGATGAAGACAAGGAGGGGGATCAACCTTCCTGTGAGCCGGAGAAGCCATGCTGGGTCTGGGAGGAGCACATCAAGAAGCCAGTTCATCCTTCCAGTGAGCCACACAAACCACGCAGGGCCAGGAAGAGAGAAGCCAGTTTGCTTTCCCTGTGAGCCGACCACTGCATGGGCTGAGAATCAAGAATCACCCCCCCATAAGCAACCAGCTGGTTCAGCGACAGGCTGAGCTGATAGCAACTGAGGTACAAGGAAATGCTTGTATTGCTTGATTGACTTTGCAGGCCTGGAGCCAGTGGTCTGAGCATCTATTAGGAGGATGTCAGAGTGCAATACAGCAAATATGGGGGATTCCTTTCTGTCTTGTTTTTGAAATCCAAGATTGTTCTCACTGTTGTTTTGTTCTGATTTATTGTTTCATTTTATTCAAATGTTCTGTTTTTGTCATGGTTTATGTCTGGGTCCCCCAGGCCTCATGAGTTTGAATTGTGCATTTGTTATTCGTCAGTGTCTAGTGCTTGGATTGATGGTGTCAGTGCTCCACCCACAAAGGGGTGGAGCCAGGACGTGATGTAATGGCAGGAAGAAGGTGTCTCTCTCTCTTTGCTGGTTCAAGCTTGCTGTTTGCAGCCACCATGAAGCCCAGCCATGCCTGCCTGCCTTGGAGTCAACTGAGTGTGGACTGAAACCTCCAAAAACTGTAAGAAATAAACCTTTCCTTTCCCAACTTTGGGCTTCAGGTATTTTGTCTCAGCAATGAGTAAAAAGTAACCAAGACAGTTTTGATTGGTCTTATTCTGTTTTATTTGATTTTACTGTATCTGATGGAATGGACAGCTATTGTGAAGATAACAAGATATTTACTATAGTAGCCATTGTTGATTTCCTATTATCCTGCTTCGAAATTCTGTACCACTTTCACTGCTTTGTTTTGATTTACTGTACTCTGTTTTGTTGAGTTTTATTCTCTTCAAAATAAAAAAAATAAATAAAACTTTAAAAAGATGGAGGGAAGGAGAGAAGAGAGGAAGGGTAAGAAAAGAGTTAAGATGAATTATGTACACGCACTAACTTCCCTTGAGGAATGTGATCACTATGTATACTACAGACACATACTCATAAAAGTAAAAAAAGAAAATCTATATTGAAAAGCAAACTTGAAAACATCCTTCTCATTAGATTTATTGGTGGTAGCTGTCACTTTCTGGAAAATTCATCTAGGTTAATTGTGCCTCCTTTTTCACAACTCAGGCTCAGTACAAGCTCAATTCACTAAGGGTACACAATATTTAGTCTGGATACAGTTGCTGGAAAAGCAGGATCAGAACAGAGCCTTAGCAGGGCATTGAGGCACACACCTGTTACCCAAGCAATTGGAAGGCTGAGGCAGGAGGATTGCCATGGGTTTGAGGCTACATGGAGAGTTCAAGGCCAAGGCCAGCCTGGACTACATAATAAGACACTCTCAAAAAAAGAAAAATAAACAGCCTTCACGGTGCAGAAAAATATTGACTTGGGGATGAAGCATAGAAAAAAGAAGTGGAGTAATCATCAGCCCAGGTCTGTACAGCTGCCAGTGGTGCCCAGAGACCATTCAGTCATAGCAACACCAAGAATACCTTCCCCACCCGACCTGGCACAGTCTGGGATATCCGAGATCCCAGCAAACTCAAATCTCATTTTTCTGCCTTTCCATTTAAGGAAGTGTAATTTCAAATTCATTACACTGAGGCATTTTATGAGCTGTGTGCATGGCCACATTAATTGTATGGTATTTTAAGAGCATTTCTGTACTAAAGCAAGATCTTCTGGAACGCAGTTGCAGTTTTCCCACTAATACAATTTGACCAGAGCAAAACTTCTCTGAAACAGTTATATGTGGGAGGTAGTACTTCTACTCTGTATCGCTGTATCACAAAATTACTAAAAGTAACTCATTAAAGAATTGAAACAGTGGGTGTGCATGGGGAAACCACCCAGACAACTCCCCCCTTGACTCTCTTTGAAAAGAAGAGCAGCTGTCTCTTTGGGTAAACCTGGCCCTGTCTCCATGGATCACTGCATCCAGAGCTGGCTGGGCCATTTCTTTGTCCTTTCTATCGGCTTTAAGCAATGTAAATGGGGCTGGCTGTGGAGCTGAGGTGTCATCTCTGACAGAACAGTGTTACCCTGCCCAGTGATTCCCCAAATACGTGACTGAGCCAGGTGGGATGGACAGTCATGTTCCACACTGTCAGCTGGGACTGAACCTCGAGAAAGAGGCTGTGACTTCCCAGGGCCAACAGGATTGAGCATCAGAACTGAAGCACCAACCCCAGATTATTAGACACCACCTCAGCTGTGTCAGGCAGGTTGCTCTCTGCATTTCTGGCCGTCTGCATATCGTAGAGGTGACCTCAGACCTGCCTACCCCAGCTCATAGCAATCATGTATTTCCCAGCACTCTCACTGTCTCTCCTCCCCAGTCACTCCCCTCATGGAGAATCAGCAAAGCCCGAGTCAGGCCCTGAGTCATGGCCTTTGCTCGGTGAACACCATCTTGGTTGTCTTAGGACCCCCTGGGCTCCCCATAACTATATATTTGTCTCAGTACCTTTATTCTCACCGAAGATTGCACTGGAAGTGGTAGATTGGAATTAACTCACTAGAATTCCAGTGACTTCCCCTTGGGATTACAAATATAAACCTTCCTGGACCTCAACGAGGACGGGAAAGGGATCTCTAGAGATCTGGAGGCTCAGCAAAACTTTACACAGATATTCCTATTTACCAAACAGCCTGCTTACCAACTGTTTAGACTCACAGGGAGGCCCACTGGTGGAATTCACAACGCGCTGCTCAGACCTACGACCCTCTCCCCTTTCCCCTCGACAGCCCTGCACGTCTTGTTTATGATGCCTCAGTGTCTCCTCTTTGATGCAGTACTCAGCGTCTATACAGCTGTGGAATTCTGCGGACAGTACTACACTACAGTACTGTAGTTTCATCTTCTGTTGTACACTACAGCACTGTGTGGAAGTTACGTAAATAAAAGCAAAATGGTCAGGGCTCTGGAGTCTCCTTCCACCATTTTTTTTTCCTGAAACTCTAATCTACAATTCCTCATTTAGACACCAGCTCATTTAGTGACCTAGTTGCAGGAATGGAGCTCCGTTCTTAAATGAGAAAAGTCTGTATTTCCCCAAGGTCATCTCATTTAACCCTGACCCGTTCTGAGAGCGACATAAAAGTTGTAGCAGTGCTTGCTTTGGGAGCACGCATACTGAAAGTTCCATCGTCTAGACCCACAAATGTCTAGCAAGAATGAAACGTCGAGAACTTGGACCAACCCTGAAATCCAGCCTGATAATCAGCTTCAGCGTTGTCATCTTTTCAAATCCCCCAAAACAAAAGGGGAAATGCAAAGTTTTAACAAATAGCTGCAATACAACCTCAAAGATGACTCTCACTAGGCTTGGTCTGGAGACATTCTGATTTGTTTTGTTTTTTGACAGGGTCTCTCATATAGCTCCAGCTGGCTTCAACTCCCAGAGACCCTCCTGTCTCAGTCTCCCGAGTGCTGGGATTACAGATGAGCGCCACTATACCTGGTCTCCTCTTGGGATATTCTTACCAACCCATCTGTCTGAGGGTTGATGAGTGTGACAAGCTGCAGCAGTGGCTTCCGGCTTGGAGTGATGCACCTTTACACACTCCCCATGCAACCCCACCTTCCGCAGTGATCCCAGACTGACATTCAAACCTCTGCCCGCTCAGCGGCTTTACTTCATGTTGGTCAGTGAGAGGGAACACTTACTTCCTTCACCTTCTTTATCTTAGAAGGTCTTCTGGGAGCTATATGAATATAACTGCGAAAGAAAAAGGAGAAAACGCAATTAGAAGATAGATATTTAGGTAGAAACCCCAAGCCTTTTTATAGCAATTTGTCCCTTTCGAAATTAACATAGATGACCCTACAGCACCATCCACACTGGGAGTTGATGTGAAACAGTCGTGCCACCCTGGAACAGCTGTCCAGCTTGCCCCATGGAAACAATCTTAGAAATTGTCCTCCTAGAAATTATCTAGTTTTTAAAAAAACATTTTTTTTACAGAACCAAAAATCAAAATTTCAGCCTTGGCCACAACCTGTATCTCCAGCCCACTCTTTTGTTTGTCTTTAATTTTAAAACTGAGCCTGGCTAAGTCATCCAGTTGCTTACACTGAGCTGGAATTTGCAGAATAATATGCTCACAGAATAATACCCCAATTTACTTTTGTATGAATATGGCTTTCTTGCTGGAGATATAGCTCAGCACAAAGCACCTGCCTGGCAAGCAGGAGATTGTGAGTTCAAGTCTCCGTACCAAAAAAAAACCAAAAAAACTATATAGATATAGATATAGGTATATATAGATATAGATATATAGCTTTCTCCACAAAAGAAATAACTAATTTTTTGGTTTTATAAGGTCTTCCTTTAGGGGAGGTTTCCTTTTTTGAGAAGTAATTATTACCCCATCACATTTTGTCCTATAGGAAAAATAAAAAAGACATGTCCTCTATCTCTATCCTACTCCAGAACACAGGAGACCTGTGTACACTGGTTGGGTATGGGGCAGATTTTACAGTGTCTGTCTCCTCCTGTGACCCCACAGCACCAGGGCCGGGGCCATTCGTGCACACCCCCAGGCCCATCCTCCCTGACAATTCCACCTGGGCACTCGGGGGCCACAGTTGCTGCCAACACCCAGAGCTTCGCCCCCACTGCTCCCCACTGGCCTACTCCCAGCCAGTGGGACTGGCCCCAGCTCACCACTGCATGCACACGGCCTCGGAGGCCTCAAGCTTCGCGGCTACCCTTGTCCACCTGCCCTGGCCAGAGGTGTCATCTAACACCCACCGGAGATGACCCTCCGCAGCTCCTTGTAAGAAGCTGAAGTGAGCAGGCTGGGCTAGGCTGGGCTTGGTCATTGTCTGTTATGGCTTCAGAGCCCATTTGCACATGGCACATTTGGAATCTTATTTCCAGGTGAAAATTAATCTTACGCAGAGCCTGTGAAACTTCTGAGCACAGGGATTTCTCTTTAACAACATACCTTTTTTTTTTTTTGGTCTTTTTCCTTTTTATCTGTACCAGGGATTGAACTCACGACTGCCTGCTTACAAGGCAGGCGCTTATGCCGCTGAGCTAAATCCCCAGCTCCAACAACCTACCTGTTTAATGACTGCCCCGACTTATGATCCAGGAGCCCTGTCCAGACTTTGGACCCAGCTTTTGTTTTTATAGATTTCTGTGTATCCCGTTTACAGCGCCCCAGTGTCTTTTTGGCACAGCGCATCTCATTTACATGGCCCTGGGATTTTTGCTGACAGCGCTGCATGTGAGAGTTACATAAATAAAGGCAAAGCCATGGAGCTGGTGTCCCACTGACCGTCTCTGTTGTGAATATCGCAGGGTCTGCCCCATGCACAGTTCCTCAGCTAGCAACTAATTCCTCTAACCGTCCAGGTGCAGGCACAGAGCCTGGATGTTAAATGAAGAATGTCTGTACTGAATACTAGATTCTGGCAGGGAACCCTAAGTTCTGACTATGATTAACAGCCCACTGACCCTGAAAAAATAACCAACAAACCAGGCATGGTGGTGCATGCCTGTTATCTCAGCCCTTGGGAGGCTGAGGCAAGAAGATTGCTGTAAATTCAAGGTCAGTTTCAACCAATAGCAAGGCCCTGTTTCAAAAAGTCAAAAAATAACCACAAAATCCCAAGTCTGCAAAGGAATATGCTGTGGGGCCCATTCCCAGGGATGTGCTGCACCCTAACAGGCCCTGATATGAATTCAAACTCCTCTCATCACCAAACATTATAATTTTCCCTCAAAAACAGCATGTTAAATGCTTTGCCAATGTTGTTAAAATTTGCCTTTCAGTTACACTCATTTTTTTTCATACTTTTGGTTTAAAAATTCAAACCCTGGGCTGCTCATTTAACTCAGAGCACCCCTGGGTGGGGAGTGGTCCTGGGATTTGAGAGAAACGGAAAATCTCTGTGGACCACAGCCGGGGACTCCAGCCTCGTGGAGAACAGGAGAGATTGGCAGGAAACCAGCGCCGGAGGAGATAAAGGGCCAGGAGGAAACCCAGTCCGGGTGAGGCCTGGGCTGTGAAAGCAAGCCCAGGGGGTCCACTGCTCCGGCCACTGCTCCGGCCACAAGGGAGTCGAAGTCGAGCTCGGGTCCTCTGGATGAAGAAAGAGGTACCAGGAGCCACGCCATTGAAGGAAATAACCGAGACATGCGACTTAAATGGCGCGTGGTTTCTCTTCTGTGAGAAAGTCAGACCTTTTGCAGATGGGAACGTCCAAAAGCTGGAGGGAGGGTGCGGGAGCGTGAGGAAAGGGGATGACATGTCCTGTGCCATGTGAGCATGTGCTCTCTCTACATACACCAACTCCATACCAGGAAAGGGACGGCAGGACCCACTCCCCAGTTCGGTCCTGGGAACCGTAGAAGCCCTGAGCTCCGCTTTGCTCGCTGAGTTGCAACCCGAGACCCTCCTGTCTCTCCCTCCCTCTGGGAGCGGGACGCTGCACTTACTCGAGCTTCTTGAAGCGCTCGCGGCCGGCCGCCACGTACTTGCCCCCGGTCTGCAGCGCGTCGAGTTCGAGCACCTGGTGACCGCGCGTGGGCGTGTAGAGGCGCCGCACCCCGAAGGGCACCGCCACCTGCTCGGTCAGCTGCTCCAGCAGCGTCTCAAACGTGGCCACACGGCGTCGCGAGAGCACGAACTTGCGGCCCACGTAGAACTGGTCCCCGTTGCGGTACACCAGGATGGTCTTGGCCGGTGTGGTGTCCACCAGCGTGCGGGGCCCGCGCGTGGCCATGCCATGCGCTCCAGGGAGGCCGAGGCAGGACGCTGCTGCTGTGGATCCCGAGCCGCGGGGCACGGGACTGGCAGGAGGCCGGAGGGGCGCGGGGCCGCGCTGACGCGGGGCGATTGTGACCCCGCCGCCGCCCAGAGAGCGGGGACAGGGGGACGGGGCGACAGCAGGAGCAGGGGTCCCAAAAGAGCTAGAACTGGTGCGGGGACAGAGACGCTTTCCCAAGGGCTCTGCTGGCTTTCAGCAAAGCCTCAGTGACAGACTGCCTGTCACCTGCGGGGTCCACCCAGGGAAGGTGCGTGGCTCTGATACCATAAACATCAGTTACCTTCTTGTTTTTAAAAAGCCAGACGTAGTGACGCATGCTTGTAATTCAAGCCCTCGGCAGGCTGAGGCAGGAAGATCTCCACGAGTTCAAGGCCAGCCTGGGCTTCACTGTGAGTTCAAACCCAGTCTGGACCACATACTGAGTTCAAAACCGGTCTAGACTACATAGTGAGACCCTATCTCAAAAACAAAAAAATGTCGCTCTGAAGGGTCTGCTGCCATTCACAGCCACAGTACTGGAGAAGGAGCTCTGAGTCACTGCACCGAGCCCCATACCCAGTTTTACTTTTATATTTCGAGGCAGGTTTTCATTCGGCGGTAAAACTGCCCAGGCTGGGCTCCAACTTGCAATCCTCCTGCCTCAGCCTCCCTTAGTGTTTTTGAACGCACTCTTCGTCATCAGCTACCCAGCGCCTGGCGGCCACGCGCAACATGCCACTGTCTATGCCACAAGCACTTTATTAGCTGCGGGGCCAAGACTAAGGCTGACCTTGCTGACAGTCTTCGAAGAGCCGGGCGGGCCTCTTCCCCACCCGCAGCAGGCAGATGGAGCTGGGGAAACCGCGCAGGCGTAGGCGGCTCACGCCCCCGTCCGGGGCGATGCTGAGCCTGGCATGCGTGATGACGTCCTGCAGTTCCAGCGTGAGGCTGTCGAACTGGTGACTCTGGTCCGGCAACAGCTGCGAGAAAAGAGGTGGTCAGAGGTTACAGCGAAGTTGGGTGGCTCGGTCACCCCGCCCAGCGCGGTGCTGCACCCCTGTCATCCCAGGACTTGGGAGGCTGAGACAGGAGGGTCGCTGGGAGTTGGAGGCCAGCCTGGGCTACATACAAAGACTCGGTCTTCAAAAAATAAAAAAAGACTTTTTATTAACTTAAAAAATTATCCAACGACAACTTGGCTTAGAAATCTGCTACTAGGAAGAGATGCTCAAATAATGCTGGCATGAGTGTTTAGCGTCTATGTAGCCCAGGCTGGCCTCCAACGCACAGGGATCCTCCTGCCTCAGCCTCCCGACTGCTGGGATGACAGGCGTGCGCCACACGCGTGGCCCATGGTGTTTGCTATGGTTAGTAGTTAAGCCGACAAATCAAGCAGAAGAGGAGATCGGCTGGGCAGTCTCGGTGGTGACAAGGAGCAGGCCTGGCCTTCAAAGATCCCCACCCGCCTCCAGGATCAAAGACGCACCTAGAACGTCTCACAGCAACGCCTACCCCAGGTACACACCCCCTTAGAGCTAGTAAATGTTAATAGAGTGCAAAAAACGTTTTCCCACTTATGTATTCTTAGCACATAATTTTAATGAAATCCACCGGCTGTGGTGGTGCGCGCCTGTCATCCCAGCACTTTGGGAGGCTGAGGCAAGAAGATCACAAATTTATACCTAATCTGAGCAATGTAGCAAGACCCTGTCTCAAAACAAATAAGAGCTGGGGTTGAAGTAGGGTGCAAGGCGCTGGGCACGATCCCTAATGCCCCGAAAAAGAAGAAGTATTAGAAATGCAAAAGCGAGGGGTGCCGGGTCTGATACGGAAGCCGGAAGCCGCAGTGTAGAGGGCGGCCGCTAATCTGGGCCACACCCACCTTGGTGGTCGGCAGCAGCGATTTCCACTTGGAGGCCGGCAGCAGCCACTGGCTCTTGGCTGCGTCCTCTTCCTCCTGCATGGTCAGGATGCACCCGTCCACCTTGCAGCTGTCCGGAGAGTTCCCTGGGGAGTGAAGGGGCACTATGTGTTCCACGCCCAGCTTCTCCCATGCTTCTCTTTGTCAGGCTTTTTAAATCAGGTTTGTGATCCCAGCACTGGGGAGGCTGAGGCAGGAGGATCACTGTGAGTTCAGCCTGTACGCCATAACGCCATAGTTCAAGGCCAGTGTGATCTACCCAGCAAGGTTGTGCCTCAAAAAAAAACAAACAAACAAAAACACTCCAAAAATAAATCAAATTACAATTTAAAAAAGTAAAATGTAGTCCTAGATGGATGTGGTGGTGCATGCCTTGCAATCCTAATGGTATCGGAGGCTGAGACAGGAGGATCAAAAGATCATGTTTGAGCTTAGTCTGGGTAACTTGTAGCAACCTTAGCAAGATCCTGTTTCAGAATAAACAAAACAGAAAAGACTGGTGATATAACTCAGTATGACGCGTTGGGTTCAATCCCAGTACCTTGTAAACAAACAGGTACATAAATGAATAAACGAAATAAAACAGTCTTCCAAAAGCAGGCCAAACTCACCGAGACTTCTTAAAATAATACCATGATGATGTTATATCTTGTGCCTTGAAATAATGCTAATAATTAAATAAAGTCCTAATGATTTGCAAGATATCTAAAAATCAATCTTCAAACCGGGTGTGGTAGCACACACCTGTAATCCCAGCACTTAAGAGACTGAGGCAGGAGGGTCACTAAGAGTTCAAGGCCAGCCTGGAACCACATAGTGAGCTCAAGGCCAGGCTGAACTGCAAAGTGAGACCCTAACTCAAAAAGACAAAAACATAAAAATAAAAAAGTCTCCCAAGAGATAAACAATCACACAGTACCCAGTCTGGTACTTACAAAATGTCACCTAAGTGACAGAACTTTAATGACCCTGACCTTGAATTTTCTTTTTCTTTGCTTTTTTGTACTTCAGGCTTGCCTTGAAGTCCTGGTGCTCCTCCTGCCTCAGCCTCCTGAGTGCTGAGATCACAAGTGTACCGTCACACCTTTCTTAATTTGATGACCCATGTATAGACTTCAAAGACAATAAAGATGGAATGTCTGGGTTGCTTATCCATGTTTTTTAATCAGGAGAAGGTTTGCTGCCATAAATTCAAGACTGAGAAGGAAATGGTTGCTCCACTCTCAAATACCTGCCCTGCCCTCATCAGCCTGGACCCTGGGAACCTTTGGAGTCCCCAGGTCCACTGTACCTTTAGGAAAGCAGGGTGAGCTGCGAGTGATTTGCCATAAGGCACAGGGTGCTGACCGGAGAAGGCAAGGCAGGTCCTCCCCGCCCCAAGCCATGGGACACCCCACCTTCCAAACAAGCACCCCGTCTCCAGGTACTTCTTGTGGCCCCGCATTTACCTTTGAAATGTTTCGTGTCAATTTCGATTTGCGTTATAACCCCAGGATGGGCCAACCGGAAGACGGCCCACTCACCCCCTGGGCCTAGGAGAAGGCCCTTCTCGTCCGTCTGGGATGAAACAGAAGGATAAACGTGAGACTCTGTAGGCTTCCTGAGACTGCACTCACGGGAGAGATAAACCAACTTACAAGGGCAAACATTGCATCATCCCTCTGGTGTGAGAAACTGAGAGCAAATGGGGTCTAAAATGTGTGATAGATTCTGTGAAATGGGGAGAGAGGGTTTAAGGAAAGGAAAAATAGGAGAGGAAAAGGAAAAGGAAGGTTGATGGAAAAGGAAGTGTTTTCCGGACAGCTGAATACAGACGTCTTGTGCCCTAGGTGAAGGATTTGGGGTGGAGATCATTGCTGCCCCTCATTGATGTGTTTTGAAACTATGTTGTAGGTTTTCTTTCTTTTTTTCTTTCTTTTTATCCTTGAATAAAATGGATTTGGAAAGAAAAGAGGAAAAGGCAAGTTTGTACTTATATCCATTGGAGAATTTTTCATCCCTGTATCTTGTACTGTAACAACTTTAAAGATAACATGCAATGTATTAGCTATTGTTATTCTCCTATCACCTTGTTATGAAATTCGGTTTTATCTTTTTTCCATAATATAAAAATAAAAAAGAAGGAGGTGTGGGGGAGGGGAGGAAAATCAATTTAGAATCCGGAAACTAATCCGGAAGCCCAGCAGATGAAAACACTGACATTTCCTCTTTCTGCACCTTGGCTCCTGGCTTGCTCCTTTCCTTACGCGTTTGCCCCGCTGGACAGCGCCGGGCGTGTACCCCGCGGCTTCCCCACCCCTCCTTAGAGCCCACACCTCTGCTCCTTGGGTTCTCCCTAAGCTTTTTGTAAATTGCAGGTATGATTTTCTACACAACGTGCACAACGCCAGGCAGGAAAGGGTCTCCATCTCAGCCAGCTCCCAGGGCATCGGGTAGGTTTTTCTGACCTAAGCCAGAATCTGCTGGTCACGCCTCTCCCAATGCATGGCCCGCCTCTGAACCACCCCAAGCCAGCGGAGTCCTCTCAGCTGCCTGCGCCACATGCAAACTGCAAAGTGTGTTTGCTTTGGTCTCCTTATCTCAGCTTAGCTATTGGCCATGGGAACAGCTAAATCGACTCTAGCGCCCTCTACCAGTCACAAATTTGCAGGAAGCCTTGGAGTAAAGAGTATCAAACTCAGGCAGACACGGAGATGCACGCCTGTAATTCCAGCATTCTGGGAGGCTGAGGCAGGAGGATTGTAAATTCCAGCCCAGCCTGGATAATTTGGTGACTTAGAGAATCCCTGTCTCAAAATTTTAAGATTTCAAAAGGGCTGGGGATGGAGCTCAGGGCATCAATACCTCAAAAAAAAAAAAAAAAAAAAAATTAAACTCATGTCTTTACCTATAAGTCTACCAGAAAATTTGCTTGTAACTGTTGTATTATTAAACTACAGATGCTTTTGGTTTTCTTATTGAGGAAACAGAGGAGTTTTTCAGAAATGGGTTGAGCAGCAGCAGGACATTTGGAAAATGTGAATGGTAGTTACAAGCACTTCAAATGACGTCAAGGAGGTTTCTAAAAGAAAAAACACTAGACCCTTCCCAGGTGTAACATTAAAGAGAAAATGTATTAAAAATACTTTTTGTTGTTGTTGGTCTTGTTGCTTTTAGGTTTTGAGACAGGGTCATTATAGAGCTCTGGCTGGCTTCAAACTCAAGGGGATCTTCCTGCTCCAGCCTCTCCAGAGCTGGGGTTACTGACATGTGCCACCTCACCCCCGGACCCCTACTCCCCCCCCACCTAAAGACACTTCTCAGGAAAACCTGAAGCTGTCGCTGTGTAGCTCTGACCTCTAACACCGGGGGCCGGTCCAGCCGCCGTGCGATCTCCCAGCCATCCACTGCGGACTTGGCCTTGCCAACTCCTGCGGGGAAAACCTCCATGAATGCCGTGGCCAGGGTTTCATCCACGCCAGAACAGAGGCACTGGTGTCATTACAGTTAGGTCCGCATAGCTGGGCCTTGCTACCCGAATTATTTTCATTAAAAACCACTGAGTGGGTAAACGTCCCTCTTCCTTTGGTAGCAAGGACCTAAGGCTGGTTACTAGTGTTGACTAGCCCGAGTTGGAGAGATGCGACCCTCCTGTCCTCCACCCTGTGTGGCTTCCTGGTCCCTTCCTTCTGCCCATCCTGGCCACCATGGGTACTGATGCTGGCACCCACAGATCTGTGTAAAGGGTACATCCCCAACCCATTCTCACCTATCATATTATTGGGGTGTCCAATGTGGGCATTGCTAAATCCTACACAGATGCCCCCAAAAACGATGGCAGCCAAATCCACAGGTTCTTTGGGGTATGCTGTGACCCAGTCTTTCTGTCCAGTACCGTATACCCTGAGGCGGGCGATCCCACCATCTGGAAAGGAAAGTTGCCTTTCTGTTGACAGGGAAGTGGCCCCCAAGAGCCCTCCAGTTGACTCCAGGGTCATCTCCTGCTAGACTCTGCCACTCCTGCCCACTGCCACCCCTACTTATGCCCCACATCACAGTGTGACACTGTAAATACAGCATGCCATTTGCCCCAGGGACTTTGCATGTGATGTCATCTTGCACCAGATCAGCTTTCTGTGATCTCCAAGACTGCCTGTTGCACTTGGGTCTCAATAGAAATGTCACAACCTCAGAAAGGCCTTTCCTGCCTTTATAGGTAAATGGAGGCAACTTGAAAATATCCTCATTAGCAAAACAAACAAGACTCACATGAGTAAATGTCACATTGTCTCTCTAGTGTAAGAAACAATAAAAACTGACAGAATACTGGGATCCAAAAAGTATAATGGATATGGGGAAAGTGAAAGGGAAGGAAAGAGCTCTAAGAGTATAACGGTATGTAAAGTGTGTAACACAGGTGACCGTGTTATTCAATCTCTGTAGGAACATTGAACAGAAGGAATTTACTCTCAATGTTTGAGTGTCTAGCCACTATTTATGCTTTGATTTTGTGACTTTGGCAGCTATTTTTTAAGATGACAGTGAGAAATGTAACAACTAGTGATTCTATAGTGATAATTTTTTTTGAATTTGGTATTGTTCTACCCTTCGTTCCTGTTTTTCTATTTTGTTTAATATTCTTCTCTGTATTTGAAAAAAGTGAACAATATGAAATATAACAACCATTTTAAATTTCTTTCATTCTGTTTTGAAGACCTGTATTGTTATTGTTTTGAATCTGCTGTTGTTGTTTATGTCTTTTGCTTTTTGTGTTTCTTGTCTGACTTTTTTTTGAATTAAAAAAAAAAGAAAAGCGTTTCCTGTTACCTACCCACAGAACCCCTCTCCTGCCCTAGCTTGGCTTCCCAGGGAAGCTGTATCAGGTCTCCCTGTTTGCTTCTCCATAGCGCTAATCTGTCACGGTTTTTTTGTTGTTGTTGTTGTTTTGTTTTGTTTTGGTTTGGTTTGGTTTTTTTGGTACCGGGGATTGAACTCACAACCTCTTGTTTGCCAAGCAGGCACTTATGTTGCTGAGCTAACCCCCCCCCCCGCCCTGGTTTTCATTTTTTTAAAGTCACCTTGAATACCAATCTCTGAGGCTTGGAGTATAGAATCCCTAGCATGGTGGCACATGCCTAAAATCTAGCACTCAGAAGGCTGAGGCAGGAGAATCACCTGGGCTACACAGGGAGCTCAAAGCCAACCTGAGCTATACATAGGAAGACCTTGTCTCAAAGAAAGGAGAGAGACAGAGAGAAAGAGACAGAGAGAGAGAGAGAGAGAGAGAGAGAGAGAGAGAGAGAGAGAGACAGAGAGAGAGAGAGAGAGAGAGAGAGAGAGAGAGGAGCTTTGGCATGATAGTGTGTAGCACTCTCTCTGCTGACTTGTGCCCTGAGAAGTGAGTTACAGTTAGGACGACGAACATTCCAAATCAACATTCACTCAAGGATGTCTGTTGAGACTCAACAATCCACTGTATCAATAATGCATATAGACACAAACCACACAATTTCAATCGACACACAAAGAAGCATTTGACAAACTCCCACACCTTCTCAGGATGAAAACCCTCAACAAATAGGATGGGAGGGGACTTTCATAACCTGTCAAAGGGTGGCTATAAAAAGTCACAGGTAGCTGCATATTTAATGCTGAAAACCAAAATGCTTTCCCAGTAAGACAGGAAGTCAGACCTGGACACTAGTCCCTGCCACTTACACACTGCTAACACGAAAACATTCTGCAAGGTTGCAGTGTGCAAGATCAAATTTTGCAAAAGAAGTGAGACGTTCCACTCTGAGAACTGCAAAGGATTCTTGAAATGAATGAAAAGAAGCTTAAATAAATGGCAGGACAGGGCCAGGCATGATGGCTCATGCCTGGAATCCCAGCACTCAGGAGGCTGAGACAGGAGGATCATCACAAAGTCAAGACCAGCCTGGGCTACATAATGAGTTCCAGGCTGGTCTGAACTACATGGCCAGACTCTGCCTAAATAAATTGACAAATGGAAGGATAGCCCATGTTCACAGACTGTGACACTTGATTCCCTCTAGATAACGGTGCCCCCAAATCAGGCAACACATTCAGTGTGAGATTCCCTGCAGAATTCCAGCTGGCTTCACTGTAGATGTTTGAGAGTCAATTCCAAAAGTGCGGACTCACAAAAGATTCAAAAAACAATCTTAGAAAAGAAAAAGGTCTGTAGGACTCAGACTTTCCAACTTGAATACTTTCAATACTGCCTACTACAAGACTAATCAATACCACGTGGTACTGCTATAAACACTGAAAAATAGGTCACTAAGGTAGAGCTGAGAGTTTGTGCTCTTGTTTTTGCTTTTTGTTTTGTTTTGAGACACGGTCTCTCTATGTAGTCCAGGCCAGCCTCGAACTTGTGGGGTTGTTTCCTCCTGCCTCAGCCTCCCTAGTGCTGAGATTACAGGCATGTACCCCCACACCTGGCTTTAGAGTTTGGAAATAAACCTCTGTGTCAATGAATTTTCCACAAGGAACCCCCAAGTCATTCAACTGAGAGACAAGAGCGTTTGCAAAAACAGTTCTGAAATGATCGATACCCAGTACGATACCAGCTACAAAACTTAATTCAGCCTTCAACAAAGATGCAAACCTAACATGTAAATAAACTCTGTCTTTGATCAGAAGAATAAGTCTATAGAACACCGAGGGGAAAAAAATCATGTGGGACAAATATTCACCGTCTTGGTGTTGACAGTGGTTCCCAGATGGAACCCCAAAAGACTGAGCCACAAAAACTAAAAAACATGTACTGAACTCCACCGAAATCAAAACCTGCTGTGCTTCCAAAGGCTCTCCCCGGAGAGTGAGAAGATACTTTTGCAAAGTGAGAAAAATATTCACGAATCATAGCTTAAAAGAAAGGGGGCCTTCCTTTATCTAGAATATATAAAGAAACCATTTAACTCAGTAATAAAAGATAGAAGCTCAGTTTTAAAAAGAGCAAAAGAGGCTGGGCGTGCTTGTGCCTGCTTGTAAGCCCAGTACTCAGGGAGGCTGAAGCAGAATGATCACCATGAGTTCTGCCTGGGTTCCAAAGTTAATTCAAGGTCAGCCTGCACTACACAGTGAGACCCTGTCTCCAAAAATAATAATAAATGAACTTGATTGCAGTGAGAGTACTTTCATACCTGTGCATACACTGCGATTGTGTACTTCAGGAGAGTGAATTGTACCTTATGTGAATTACATCACAATAATACTGCTACAAAGAAATAACAGAGAGTCAGTCTCATATCACTTCAGCTACTTGCAGCACAGAAACTGCTGGGAGATACCTAGCTGATCGGCATCCAACTGACTGGAGAATTTGTCACTACCTCTTACTGATGAATAGACTCAAATCTTTCTCTAAGGCACAGAAGGGTAGATTTTAGGGCTAAAATCCATCCTAGAGAGAACATGCATGAGATACGGAGATTTTGTCACTCAAGGGTCCCCGATTCCTCAGACTGCAGAGACCCCTCACGCACGCACCTGGGAAGATGTTCAGGCGCACGTGTGTCCACCTCTGCCGGGAACTGACCAGGAAATAGTTGTGGCTGAAGGTGAGGGTTCCTGGTTTAAGCTCGGTCATGGGCACCAAGTGACTCCAGTGCTCCGACTGCAACTAAATAAAAGCAAAGTGTTAGGATGAGAGAGCTCATCCCCTGCCTCTGCGGGGGCCAAGGGGCAGAGATGCTTCGGAATAAACACAAATGCTGTATACCGGCCATGGCGATGCAAGCCTGTAACCCCACTGCACTCCGGCGGTGAGTTCAAGGCCAGCCTGGACAAAAAAATTTTAAAAGCTGGATGCCTATAGAACACATTAATAAAAATACTGATAATGATTCCCCACATTGATCAAAAAGCTGCCGGATGAAGGTGGCAGGGACACGGAGCTCCCTGCAGCAGCCCCAGGGTGCCCTGCAGTAGACATGGGACTTGTGATGGAACTGTTAAACTCCGTGGCAGCTCCGGGAGTCCAGGGAGCCTGCTCAGCCAAACCCTAAACGGCTTTGCCTAGACTGGTGTTTCTCAGCCTGAGAGCCGAGGTGTTGTTGCGGTTGTTTCCGAGTCTGTTAGAGGGGAACACTTTATAACATGATGGAAATTAATTAGTAGATTTGAACAATAGTGTGAAAAGAGCTAAGCTGTGGTCTGTCCGTGGACCAACTCGCCGTGGCGTACCGCAAAGATGTATTAAGAAAAAAACACTCTTAAAAAGAAAAGGCTGAGGGGCTGGGGATTTAGCTCAGCGGCATAAGCACCTGTCTTGCAAGCAGGGGGTCGTGAGTTCGATCCCCAGTACCCATAAGATAAAACAAAAAAAAAAAAAGAGGCTGACTCTCCCATTCTGTCTGCACTTCCCAGGCCAGAAGCAGAATGCAGGCTGCTGAAGAAATATTTTGCCAGGACACCCACAGAACATGTGTTTGCAGTGCCACGGTGGGAGGATAAAGGAGGTATAGGGTAAGCCCAGTACAGTGGCGCACATCTGTAATCCCAGCACGTTGGGAGGCTGAGTCAGGAGGATCACCAGTCAAGTCCAGTGTGGAAGATTTAGCAAGAGCCTGTTTTCAAAAGTGGGACTGGAGATTATAGCTCAGTGCAAAGGTCCTGAGTCCAATCCTCAGTACTGGGGGCAGGGGGGGCGGAAATCAATGCATAGGTACCGGGGTCCAGGAGCCCAGAGGATGGCCTTCTGTGGCCGGGCCTACAGCACTAGCTCCTTCCTGTCTCCAGAATGTGACCTCATCTTTTGTGGGGGCAGGCATACCTCCGAGATAGTGGCAAACTCTTCAAGGCTAGCTGCGGTTCCCGTCCTGTCCCCTCGTGGTGGTATCTCTGGCAATTTACCTGAAGTCAGAGGGACCATTCAGTGCAGAATCACAGAGACGATGCCCTGTCAGCATAAAGTGGGGCCACTCCACATCCCCAAGCAGGACTCAGCGTGTCACTGCTGAAGTCACAGCACCCAATGACCCCAGAAGTGGACACTGCAGTTCCTCAACATTTAATAGGTTATCACAAAAGGCCATGCGATGTGTTTTGTGCTCCATTTGCAACTGAAACGCTGACTATATTGCCTGAGGCTGGAACCCTCAGGTTGGCAGGAGGCACCCCCGAGGCCAGCTGCACCCTCAGGACTCAGGTTCAGAAAAAGCAGCGCTCAGACCCTTGTCTGGCCTCCCCTGCATTGGTCACGGGTGTCCTACATGCAAAGTACCATCTCTCCACTTATCGCTTACCTTCTTGGTACCCCGGCCATCTGTGGGAGCAGGGTCTACTCCTCCCTACCAAGCCTCCTGAGTACTGGGCACCTAACACTTCCGGGAAGAATTTCCTCTGTGACATGATCAATGGTAAGCACAGCATGTGCACCCATCCAAGGGGTGACAGGAAAGCACGGTGTGGGGCAGAAAAGAAATTCATTACAGTAGAAGACACAAGGCCGCGAATGTTCCTCAGAATATTCTCGTCGACTCAATGCGCTCATCCCATCCTCCTGGCCACTTCCTGCAGCAGCTCTGGAGTCCTCTTTCCTGAAGGTCTTTACCAGGCAGGATCAAAAACACAGTGACTGCTGCTGCTGCTGCTTCCGAGCTGCACCCCACAGAAAGGCAGCTCAGGAAAACAGGACGCTGTGTCCTCACCCACCTCAATCACCAGATCTGGCCCTATGTCACTGCTGGTTCTTCCCAGTGACCAGGAAAAGGAGACACTTTGAATCCATTCAGCCGGGAGGCAGCCGGGACAGTGCAGCTAAAGACCCTCAGGAGAGAGGACCCCAGAGCTGCTGCAGAAAGCGGCAGGGACGATGGGACCAGTGTGTGCAAAACTAGGGGGAAGACTTTGAGGAGGATTGTGGCAATGGGTCTTTAATAAATGTTTACATTTATTTAGAAAACATCCACCCTATGTTTGCTCACCCATGGTACAGCTGCATACATTTCTTAGACAATTAATTCAAAGACCAACATGCAGAGATTCCCAGTGGGAGGAGCGAACGTGCAGCCGAGGTCATCTCCCAGGTCCCGGAAGCCGAAGGACACTCCCAAAAACCCCAAAGCTGCGCGGCCGCTGTGCCCAGTGCAGTGGCCACGTGCGGGCCAGAGCCATGGGCCTCACAGTTGCCCATCCCGGGCTTCCTGGTCACAACCCGCCGTCCGCCCCCGCACACCTTCTCCCAGGTAGGCAGCCTGGATGGACACCCGGGGTGGGTGGTTCCCAGCGAAGTGCGCGAGGTCCACGTCAAAGCAAAGGATGATGCCTTCGATCCCCAACCTGATGACACACCAGTCATGACCTGTGTGCAGAGGGAAAGGGCCCGGAGCACCAGAGCTGGCCAAAGCAGAGGACAAGCAGCCTGGCGACCGCCCGACCCAGGCTGGTGGCAGCGTGGTGGCTGTGGCTGCTCCTCCACTGGGGTGTGGGGTGAGGACTAGCATCCTGAAACTTATAGCGACCCCTGCGTGTGACCCAGCCATCCCCCTTCCACACCCGGGTCACCGCGATCTCAGACTGCTGACAAAAATGTACTAAACCCAGCATGGTGGCGCAAGCTTTCAATTCCAACCCTCAGGAGGCTGAGGCAGGAGGATACCTGAGTGTGAGGTCAACCTGAGCTACAGAGTGAGACTCTGTCTCCAAAAAAATAAAATAAAATACAAAATTAAGAATGAAAAAGAAGGGGCTGGTGATTTAGCTCAGCCGCATAAGCACCTGCCTTGCAAGCAGGCAGTCGTGAGTTTGATCCCTGGTACCGATAAAAACGAAAAAGACAAAAAAAAAAAAAAAAAAAAAAAAAAAGAATGAAAAAGAAAAAAAAAACTTAAAAATAATAACATAAAATAAATTGAAAGAGAAGGAAAAAAGAAAATGAAAAAACCCTAAAATAAACCTACCTTAAAAGTCCAGATGTATTAGAATCTAATACTGACTTGAGTACTATAGAAATGTTTAAAAAAAAATCCCTGACTGACATGTTTCAAAATTTTGTTGTAGTTTTTTTATTTTCTTTCTTTTTTTCCTCTCTTCTTAAAATAAAATAGATTTGGGAAAAAAATATAAAAATGAAAGATAGCTAATAATTCTTTAATACTTTAATAAAACGAACCCGGTTATCAACCTAATACCTGAATTTGTTCTTTTTTTTTTCTAGCATTTTTTCAGCTAAAAGAGTTATATGGTGATTAAGACTAATCAGTAACACCTGGGCATGGTGGCACATGCCTGTAACCCCAGCACTTGAGAGGCTGAGGCAAGAGGATTGCCATGAGTTCAAGGCCAGCCTGGGCTACGCACAACCTTACCTCAAAAATAAATAAATAAATAAAACCAGACTAACCAGTAACAACAAATAAAAATGGTGGCTGGTCTGGATGGTGATGTACACCTCTGATCGCTCTAGGGATTTCAATCTAGGAGGCTGAGGCAGGAAGATCACAAGTTCCAAACCAGTCTGGGCAATTTAGCAATTTAGCAAGACTGTCTCTCAAAATGAAAAACAGAAAAAGAGGCCAGCTCATCGAAAGGCCCTGGGTTCATTCCCAGTCCTGCAAAACCTAAATGAGGGCAAATAGAGGTAGCAGTTTAAGGTGTGGCCATGACAGATGATAGATCTTGGTTTGCTTTCCAGCTCCTCGGGCTGGCTGGGTGACGTGGGCTGAATTAAGGGATTCATCTCTATGGTAACGAAGTGGTGAGATCACCCACTGCAGATCACGATCAAGGGTCCAACACAAACGCCCTGACTGAGCACTTTGGGCCGAGTTGCTCCTGCCACCACCCACGGCCCTCTCCGATATTTCCACATTCCACACAAAGCTTCCCCCCCTCCCTGGCCTTTCCAGCTGCTGTCTGGTTGGGGATGGGGTGCAAGCTGCTCCCTCTGACCTCTCAGAGCCTGGATTCACACGGGGACATTGGGCAGTGAACACAGCCCACAGACCACAGCCCCAGCCTTAGACTTTGCAGTGTTGGTGTGAGGTCTTGGCATCTTACCCGCAACCCTCCTCCGCCTGGTCTCCCAGCCATCCATCCACTTCCCAAACTCAGTGTACTCGTGTTCTTTAAATGTCGGGCTGTCGCTCTGGAAAGATGACACAGGGTGATCACAGTAAAAGGTGAGTGTGTAAATGCTTTAACTGTACTGCAGTAGAAAACACAGGGCTGGGCCAAGCATGCACTTATAATTCTAACACTTGCGAGGCTGAGGCAGGAGGATTGCCACAAGTTTGAGACCAACCAGGGCTACGTAGCCAACTCAGAGACAGCCTGGACTACATAGCACAACCCTGTCTCCAGAAAAACACACGGCCACAGTATCCAGCATGTGACTCCCACTCCCCCCCCCCCCAACACACAGGGAAGTCTGAACTCACACCACGGCATAGATCTGTCTACACCACCATTCCCTGGGGTCCATGGCAGGGGGCAATACCTTTAAGAGGTTTTCAGCTGGAGCATAAAAGTCATCTGTTGCGAATAAAATCTAAATGAAGAAAAGCAGAAGCAAAGATGAAGAACCACAGGTTTAAAGCTGCTGTATGTCACAGCCTGGTGAAACGTGGTAAGCTACAGTGAAACAGGGAGTGGCAGTGCCAGGGGGAGAGATGCTGTGTGCAGCTGAGCCACACATTCTGCAAAGGTTTACGCCTCCCCCCCTCCTCTCCTGTCCTCTCCAGCCCTTTTCTCCCGCCACCTTCCCCATTAGGAAGCAAAAGTACACGCCTGAACAGCACACCAAGCAGTCTCCTTTGTAGTTGTGGCAGTGATGCTGGTACAGGGGCTTGAACCCAGGACCTGGGCACTGAGCTCCCTCCATGCCCTTTTTCCTTTTTTATTTTGAGACAGGGTCTCGAGATGTGTTTCATGCTGGCCTTGAATTCACTAGGGAGCCCAAAATGGCCTCGAACTAGAGGCATTCTTCCCCTCAGCCTCCCGAGTGTTGGGATTACAGGCGTGCCCCACCAGACCCAGCTGGGTTTGGACTTGTGATCCTCCCACCTCAGCCTCAGAAGGGTCAACTTTCTTCAAGAACCACAAAGGTCTTGGTGGCTGTGATTCTCCCACAACAGCGAGATGAAAAAGAAAAAAGAGTAGAAGGAAGGAAAGAAAGAGAGAAAGGAAGGAAGGAAGAGAGGGAGGGAGGGAGAGAGAGAGAGAGAGAGAGAGAGAGAGAGAGAGAGAGAGAAAGAAAGAAAGAAAGAAAGAAAGAAAGAAAGAAAGAAAGGGGGCTAGGGATTTAGCTCAGCAGCATAAGCACCTGCCTTGCAAGCAGGCGGTCATGAGTTCGATCCCCGGTACCAATAAAAATGAAAAAGACAAAAAAAAAAAAAAAAGAAAAAGCAAGCACAGTGGGCGTGGTATCTCATGCCTGTAATCCCAGCACTCGGGAGGCTGAGGCAGGAGGATTGTTGCGCGTTTGAGACCAGCCTGGGCTACAAAGTGAGCTCAAACCCAGCCTGAACTGCATAGTGAGACCCTGTCTCAAAAAAAAAAAAAAAAAAAGAAGAAGAAGAAGAAAGAAAGAAAGAAGGTAGGAAAGAAAGAAAGAAATAAAAAGGGAGAAAGGAAAGAAAGAAGAGAAAGGGCCCAGGGCCACACCCGGGTCACTCTTGCCTTGCAGGCGGCTGTCCTAGTCGGCATCCACCAAGGCAGTGCGGTTGCAGGGAAGGAGTTGCCACTGGTTGTAACCAAGTGCTGTGTGGCCGCGATTTCCCAATCACCCCTGAGCGAGGGACCTCAGACAGCAGCCTCAAGGGCAGAGCCCAGGGCCCTGACCCCAGCCCAGAGCCCTAAGGGAGGGCAGATGTGGCTGCCAAGGTCCCACTATCTCACCTGTCCCCTGTCCCCCAGGAGACACTTTCTGCTTGGAGGTGGAATATGAGGCCCTGGGGCAGCATGGGGTCTTCTCTCTGCAGCCTCCAGGGGGCCTATGCCCCTGGACTCCAAACAGCTCCACAGTGATTTGCACCACAGGAAGCTTGGGGAGCACTGACACTGCCCATAGCAAACCTCCTCCCAGAGGGCAGTGGTGCTTCCCTGTCATCCCAGCACTCTGGGAGGCTGAGACAGGAGGATCATCCTAAGTTCCAGACCAGGCCAGGTGACTTAGTGAGTTAGTGAGACCCTGACTTAAATAAACGAAACGAAATGAAATAGGGCTGCGGGTGTATTTCAGTGCAAAAGTCCTGACTTCACTTCCTGGGATGGTCAAAAGAAGGAAGGAAGAAAGGAAGGAAGGAAGGAAGGAAGGAAGGAAGGAAGGAAGGAAGGAAGGAAGGGAGGGAGGGAGGGAAGGAGGGAGGAAGAGCAAAGTCACCCTTGCCAGGGTTCTTTCAGTTTAAGATAAACCCTTTGGGTCCAGAAATGTAGCTCAGGGGCACAGTGCCTGCCTGACAAGTGTGAGGTCATGAGTTCAACTCCTGATACCAAAAAAGAAAAAGAAAAATGGACTGAGATAAACCCTGTGGAAGGATGAGCTTTCTCAGTGTGCACTGCTGCAGCCTGATCCCGGCCAACCCACTTTGCCGGTTCCCTGCCATGGCAGCGGGGACCCTGCTTGCCTTCCCTCCGATGGTCTCGGACGCCATATCCACCACCTGGGTGAAGTCCAGGAAGCAGGTCAGCTTCCCCTCCTGCGGGGTATCTGCCATGATCTCTGGAAGGCAGAGGCAGCTCTGTGGGGCTGGGTGAGAAGGGCTTTGTGTGGACCCAGCGGGGCTCTCTCTGAGGTGTGTTCTGTCCCACAGGCCAGGCTCTGGGTCCTGCTCAGAAAGGGGATGAGATTTACATTGAGTCACATTTAATCAGCTTTGCATGCGATCAGCAAACACTCCTGAATGGAGACAAGGAGGCTCTGGGTAGATGTGGGTCTGAGCTGAGAAGGTGCCTGCCTGCGGGAGCCAGAGAGGCTGAGTCCAAGCCACGAGCCACGGAGGTTTCACCACCCAGGATTCTGACCCTGCCTCATGGGCTGGGGTGCAGCTCCAGCGTGCGAGGCCCTGGGTTCATCCCAATTTCAGACCTCAAACACCCATTGCAGGGGCTTACAAGGAATACAGTCCAGCTCCCCGGCACCCCTGGTTGGAGGTTTGGAGGAGCGGAGTGCAACCAGGGCCAGGGAAGAGGCTGCTCCCACCCCAAGCTCCCAGCACCTGCTCCGATTTTTCTTACTCCTCTTTTTTCCTTCCCATCACAGGAAAAGGAGAAAACCACACGAAAAGTAAGGTCTTACTTATGGAGGAATATTCTTTGCAGGCTGTGGTGGCCCACACCTGGAAGCCCAACACTAGGGGAAGCTGAGGCAGGAGGATTGCAAGTTGTTATTTTTACAAAAGAAGGATTAGAAGCAAAGCACCTGAGATGTCAGCTCTGCCTTGAGGTTACGGAACTAGGATTCATCACAGACACAGATTCTCCGATAAGGCCACTGCTCCGGGTTTAACACAAAGGTTGAGAATCTGCTCTCAGGAAGAGGGATGGGAGGCAGGGGCCTGAACTCAATTTAAACAGAACCTCTCCCCCTGTAAACTGGGGGTGTCGGATCTTCTGTCTCCACAACGGAAAGCGAATTCTTGCAGAATCACACAGCACCCAATCTCATCTAGGAGAGTGAAGCCCAGCATTCAAGATTGGATGTCTCGTTCTGCACAAGCCCACTGGGGTTCCGTGGTGCACAGCGCCAGCCCAGAGAGAATTTATAGGGGATGCGAGTCAGCACGGAACTTGTGGAAATCTTGTGATGTCACAAGAGCCACAGAGAGGGAGCTGGGACAGCATCCTCCCTCCCCCGCCCCCGGGGGCCTATTCCTCCTAAGAATGTCAACCAACTGGTTGCAGGCCCTCAACAAGGCTGACCGAACCACCTCCACCCTGGCCTGGCCTGAAATCCAAAGTCCCAGCTGCCAGAGCGCTGGGCTAGGGCTGGGTCTCTGAGCCAGGCTTGTAATCCCAGCACTGGAGAAGCTGAGGCAGGAAAATCACAAGTTTGACCTCAGCCTGAGTAACTTAGCTACTTAGCAAGACCTGACTGAAGATAAAAAATAATTTAAAAAAAGAAAAAAATAAATAAATAACAGATAAAAAGAAATACTGAAAGGGCTGAGGATGCAGCTTAGTGTAAAGGCTCTGGATTTGTTCCCCAGAATAAAAGAGGAACAACTCTCCAGGGCCCTGTTGGCACTGCCAACCGTGGACTCTCTTTGGGAACAAGATTCTTACAGTCCCGCCAACCAGTAAGACAGCCGCTAGCTATTCAAGATTAAAATTCACTTAATTAAAATCAAGTGGAATTGAAAATTTAGAGCCTCTGTCCCAGGAGCTGCCAGCATGCAGAAGAGCTCCATGGGGGACGGAGGGGAAAGGGTGTAGAGAGAAGACTCCCCCAGAGCCAGGCAGGCCCCTACTTGCTGTGCCAGGGGCCAGAGCACCCAGGCAGGAGGTAGTGCCCACCCCACAGCCACCCTGGCCACAGGGGCAAAGTGATGGCCTGTGGGGAGGAGCCACAGGGCTGTCCCTCCCACAGGGAGGTGATGGCACCAAAGGTCCTCCCCAGGATAACTCCCTCTCCATGGCATTCAGTGGCCTCGTGGGATTGGCCACCATAGCCTGCCCCAGGCCACATGTTTCTTGGCTTCCACGCAACCTGCATCTGCACCTAGGGGACATCTGTCCAGCAGTGCCACTCTTCTGTAGCTCCCCGTCCCCCACCTGAGTGACAGGCAGCTTTCTGCTCCCGGTACAAATCCCTGCAGTGACAGAGGAAGGAAACAGGGAAGGTGTGGGGGCTGACCAACCGTGTCCACTTGAATAAGAGAAGCTCAACTGAACGGGCGCAGTCATTCCACAGCTTAGGGCATGGGGACCAGCCCAAGGCTGGATGATATCAAGTGGAAACCGGGAAGAATGGATCTGCTTCTGTCCCCCATCTCAGTCCAGCCATCAGCGTCCTGCGGCAACTCAGACAGGACACTGCAGTGAGCCTCAGACTCTGATTGGGTACTTTGGTCTGCAGGGTTCAAACACCCTCTGCACACTCCCAAATCTGACTTCTTAGCTGGTCACTGTTGGCCAATCTTTTAAATTTGTATATACTTGTGTATCTTGTGTTACATCTGTTGCTGTAGTAAACACGGATATGAAAGGTTTGTCTTAGAGGATGAGGTCACGTGTCCCTTTCAGGCCTCTAGGGGGAGAGGTGCCATGCAGCAGGGCACAGCACAGCCATTCATCCAGTGATGGCAAAGCCCCACATTGTCAACTCCCTTGGCTTGAAGCAACTGGAGGATGCATGGAACTCACTTCTGGGTGTATCTAGGTGGGTCCTAGAGGGCAACCTTGGGTTTCTATCTTTTCCTTCCCTTCCTCTCTGCCACTATTCCCTGCTCTGCTTCCTGGCCGCCATGAAATGAGCAGCTTGGCTCCCCCACACCCTTTTACCCTGATGCTCCTGCCTTGGACTGAAACTCCTGAGCCACGCTTTCTTCCTTGAAATTAAGTCTCAGCAAGGAAAAGCTGGCCAGTGCATCCTAGCTGTAATGCAAAAGGGAGAGACAGAGAGAGAGAAAACCCAAAACCCCCTGAAAGTACCTCCATGACCAAAGACACCCTGCTTCTTTTTGGTGGCACCACCTTCCAATAGCAGCTCCATGGGGAACCAGCCTCAAACAAAGGACCCCTTGGGGACATTCGGGAGCCCAACTACAGCAACAGCACCTAACTAGTACCTCACAACACTGGGACTGTCACCAGACAAGGGGCAGGTGGCCTCCATGGGGCCCACGACTCCTGCCTCCCAGAACCAGGGTCTAATGTGGTCTTTTCTGATTGTGGGTGTCGCTTAAGGCACCCAGGCTATGGGAGTCTGTCTCTCTCTCTCTCTCTCTCTCTCTCTCTCTCTCTCTCTCTCTCTCTCTCTCTCTCTGGTGCATGCGTGCTTTTCAGAGCCGCCTGTGGGGACCTGCACCAAGGACCATGAGCTGGAGCGTGTAGAAAAGCAGATGCCCCAAACCAGGGCTCCAAAGGACACTAGTCACCTTGACTGCACCCAGGAGGGGCCCAGGCTGTGCAATCAGAGGCCAGGCTCAGTCGTTAGGGGTGGCACAGGCTGGCTGAAGCCACCCACCCCCACGTGTGCACTGACTCCCATCCTGGGGACTTCGGTGTCACTTTTCAAAGAACTTGCCAGCTGGATGCTGGCATGAGGAGTTGGTTCTAGAGAAATCCCTCTGCTTCGGCCTCTGGAGGCCTTGCATCTGCTCTGATAGAAACACATGTGGCTCATTGCATGGTTACTGTTGAGAACCTCTGGGTTCCAGGATGACTCATTATGCAACAAAAGCTCATGGGAGCCTGCTGGGGCCACTGCCATAACCGGGAAGCACCTTCTTCTCCCGCCATAAGGCCAAGAAATGCATGCTTCCCCTACTCCTCTGTCCCTAAATGCACGCCAACGAACCACGGATGGTCGTGCAGGTCGGTACTGCTCTTTGGAATTGTGCAGTGTGCAACCTGCACACTCAGCACGGCCCACGGGTCCTCAGGCTCTGAGTGGGAAGCTAGATGCTTGCAGTCTGACTGGCTTCCATGGAAACGGTGGCAGTAACCTAGCAACAGCATCTGCAGTCAAGAGGAATGGGCAGGCCCACCTGCAGCCTGCTGGTGGGCTTTGTTCTCCCCGGTCTTTCCTGCGTTCCCAGAGTGCTTTCTGCAGACCCCCTTTGTGTGTGCTTCCCCCGGGCTCCGTCCTCCCTGCCCGCACGCACTGTTTAAGGCCCGGAACGCAGCGGGGTTGTGCTGCCGAGCGGCTTTGTGCCCACCTGGGCAGTGAGAGGAGGAGGAACCAGCACGCTTCGCAACGCCTCAGGGAGGGCAGGAGGAGACAGAAGAGGGGACCCGGATCCGGAGAGAACCCTGCTCCCCACCTCCCCAGCGGCTCTGGGTTTTTCTGAGCCTCTTTCTGCTTCTCCCTCTGATACACGCACACGCACGCCGGTACACGCACGCGGGCACACTCACGCTCCAGCTCAGGACGCCCGAGCCGCTGTGCCCGCCCCACCCTCTCCTCTGCCGCCGGGTGGCGCTATGACTCCGCAGAGCCGCGCGCATCCTCCCGGCCTCTCCACGCCCGGGTCTCGCGGGGACATACGCAGGGCAGTGCCGGGCTCCACCCACAGGCGCTTGCGTCCCACAGTGGGGCATCAGAGCCATCCTAGCCGGGGACGCCGGCCGAGCGTCCGCACAGTGCTGCGCGGTAACCCGAGGCCCCCTGCGTGACCCTGCAGGCGGGACCGGTGTGACGGGCTCCCTCTGGCGGACAGAGGGAGACCCGGCCGGGGACCCAGGGTAGCTCGCCAAGCGCACCGTGTTAGCAAGATGAACCAAGGCAAAGCACTCCGAGCAGTGCCCCAGACACAGCCGGGAGCCGCCGCGTGTCTGCCTGCACGCTGTCTCGGGAAGGAGCGAAAGGAACACGCGAGAACCGCGGGTGACTGCGCAGGCGCCAGGAGGTCCCTGCCCCACACGGTTGCACCTGGAGATTCAGACCAGAGCCAAGCGGCCACGAGGAGCTGTGCTTGGGTCCTGCCAGTGTCCACTCTCTGGTTCTATCTCTTGCTGCCCTTGGGAGAGAATCACATGGCAAAGAACAGAGTGGACTTGGGCTCACAGACAGTGAAAAACCAAGATGCAAGTGCAGAGGGTGCTGAGCCCTACAAAACCCCAGGTAAGCCAGCAGGCAGGGTGGTGCACACATGTGACTCTCAACACTCAGGAGGCTGAGGCAGGAGGATCCCCCGATGTTCAATACATAGCCTGAGATACATAGTGGGACTCTGCCTCAAAAAAGAAAGAAAGAGACACAGAGACAGAGGACAGAGAGAGAAAAGAAGGAAAATACACACACAATAAGCAACTTGGTTTTGGCTGTGACATCCTGAATGCAAGGACCCAGCTAGACCCTGCATAAATGTATGACTCTTGGATGCCTTGAAGTAGTACATACTTCAACTTTGGGCCCTTAAGTTTGGGGTATTTTGTTCTACAGCAATAGATAACTAATACAGCTATTAAGAACATTAAAAGAACCAAACAAAACCCTTCATTCCAGAATCAAGGTTAGAGAATTTATTTGTGTATTCTTGAAATCTGGGTTTAAAGCAAAGCAAATTCGGTTCCACCTGCACACTAGTGAAAAGGAACCTATACTTCAGTATAATTTACAGGTGCATGGGTCGTGGTTTGGTGGCTCTCTTCAGTATGGAAATTAAGAGATGGGCAAGTGATACGTGCACCCATGTTTACAGCAGCATAATTTGTGATAGTCAGACCTTGGAAACAATTTAAATGCCCATCAATTGAGGAATGGATAAAAAGGGTGTGGTATTTAATACAGTGGGGTACTACTCAGCCATGAAGGATAAACTGGAGACTCTTATAGGTAAATGGATGCAACTTGAGACCATACTGTAAGTGAAATAAATCAGAAGTGTGTATAAACATCGTACTGTCTCCCTAGTGTGAGAAGCCAAAACAACATTTATATATATATATATATATATATATATATATATATATATATTTGAGATAGTTATACTGCTGATTTCTCAGAGTTCACTAAAGAGAACAATTTCTGCTGGAATTGTTCAGACAATTGAATGCAAGATTCTTATGCTCTGGGTGAATGATTTGGGGCTAACAGTGTGCAATGCATGTGCCATTATTGTGCCGATGATGTGTTTTAGATTTTGTTTTACTTTTTCTTTTCTTTTTTTTTTTCTCTTTGAAATAAAATAGACTTTAAAAAAAAGAGAAACAGGCAGTGATTTCCGGCCCCACGGTTGCCGCGGGTCACTCCACGGGCTGCTGCAGGAGTGAAAGACGCTATTTTGTGGTTGGACCCAGGCAGCAGAGGTGCAGAGAGGCAGTGGTGAGTAATACTTCATAGAGAACGTTTTGCTCTAATACAAATGATGAGACTCCACTTCTCCAAAAGAGTCCCCTTTGCGGGGACACCGCGTTTTGAGGGGAGTAGGGGGGTCAAGGTAGAGCCCTGGGGAGGGTCCCCGGGTCTCACACGCTCTCCTTGTCGAACTCGCACAGGAAGTACATGGTGATGTGGCAGGCCACGTCGTTCCAGCCGCCCGAGGCCACCATCTCCACGCAGTCCTCCTCGTCGTAGGCATTGTTGGGCTCACCGCTGCGCCACTTGCTAAAGGTCTGCATAGGGGAGCGGTCGGAGTACACGAAGGCGCCCTCGCGCTCCATGTCGTTGATGCCGATGAAGACGCGCGCCAGGCCGGCCTGCGCCAGGTAGGCGGCCATCAGCCCGTTGGCCGCCTCGTCCTTAGGCATGCCCAGCGTGCCCCCGCGGCCCTGGCAGGACAGCTGCGCGTCGGCGTAGCGTTTCTCCTCCTTCACCAGCAGGTAGATCTTGCTGTCCGTCTCGCGCACACCGGCGACAGCTGCGGGGGAGGGCAGGGCTGAAAGGCAGCACTGGCATCTCTGTGATCACACTTACTTGCCACTCACGGGTCACATGCTCGCGGCAGGTGGGCGCTGCCCAGGGAGGTGGAGGCCCAGGGGGAGGGTTGTCAGGGAACGCCCCGGAGTCCCACCTACCGTTTTTGATAAACTTTAACTCGGTGGTCAGCTGGGTGACCTGGTTGTCCATCTCGCCAATGGCCTTCCTGAGCTGGCTGCACTCGCACGGGAGGCCTGTGGGGACCAGGTGGTGACTAAGGGCCAGGGCTCAGGAGAGAGCACCCCATCCCCAGATGCATAGATCTGCTTGACACCAAGCATACACTGGGGCTGAATTCCAGGCTTATCCTTGGGCACAGAGAGGCAGTGGGTGGCCACCAGAGTCACCAGGGAAAATGGGGGAACACTGTGTTTATATATCAATATAAAGAGAGACAGATGCCAATGAATCCCCTTAAAAATCCTCCCCTCATGGGGCTGGGGATTTAGCTCAGCGGCATAAGTGCCTGCCTTTCAAGCAGGCAGTCGTGGGTTTGATCCCTGGTACCGATAAAAAGGAAAAAGACAAAAAAAAAAAAAAAAATCCTCCCCTGGCTTTGCACACACTCATCCCATCGCCCTTGCCGCTCTGTGCAGCAGCTCTGGAGTCCTCTTTCCTGAGGGTCTTCACAGGTATGATCGAAAATACAGTGAAACCAAGAAAAAATGAATTCAGGGACTGCTGCTGCCTAGCATCGTCCAGCAGAAAGGCAACTCATAAAAATGTGACGCTGTGCCCTCTTCCACTTGAGTCACTGGATCCGGCACCATGTGACTTCTGGCTCTTTCTCAAAGTTCAAACAACCATGAAAGGGAGACATTCTGAATCCATTCAGGACATCAAGGCAGCCAAGACAGCACAGCTACAGACCCTCAGGGAGAGGACTCCAGAGCTGCTGCAGGAAGCAACAGATGATGGGATGAGTGTGTGCAAAGATAGAGGAGGACTTGGAGGGGATTGGTGGCAACCTGTCTTTTACTGGAGTTGACTTTTCTTTATTTATACAGATCACACTTTTTGGTTCCTTATAAGTTAAGTGCTGCTCAACTGCAATGGGCAGACAGTGAGATGCAGTGCAGGAAAGGATGCAGAGAGGACGCGAGGGTCTTAGGATGCCACTGGGGAGCCTGCAAGAGGCTCAGGGTAGTGGCAGGGGACGTCCCCAGGACATCTGGGGAGAGAGGAGGTCCCAGCACGGGTCATGAGTGGGCCCTTTAGGAGCTGCTGGAGGTCTCTAGACCCCCTGTACACACACAGCCCTGGATGTCCCAGCCAGCTGGGGCAGAGCTGCAGGGCACAGAGGGGTTAGGAGGGAGGGTGAGGGCTTTCAGACCTGCTCAGCTGGCTTTTGCTGTTGTTGTTGTTGTTGTTGTTCATTTGAGTTTGGTTTCCTTTATTTTTCAGTACAGTGCTGGGATTGAGCTCAAAGCCTTCACCCTGCGCTATGTCCCCAGCCTGTTTTTGTTGACTTTTTTCTTTGAGGCAGGAACTCACTAAGTCATCACATTGTCTTGGGGGCTCAAACTTGCCATCCTCCTGGCTTAAGCTCCAGAGAGCTGGGATGGCAGGCGTGTGCCAGGTTCAAGGGACTGAATTTTCCAAAGGGCAATTTTAGCACATTTCTCTAAAATCCCTCAGCCCTGTCTACCATACCTGGTTCTCCATGAGGGCCAGGGGGTCCTATATCACCCACCTCACCCTTGTCACCTGAAAGAGAAGCAGAATCATGTCACCAACCCAAGGCCGAGCGACCCCTGGGTGACAAAGCACCACGGTCGCACAGCATTGCTTTTGTGGACCCAGCATCTGTGAACCTGGGTCACACACTGCCACCACACCCAAGGGACCACCAGTGCCACCTAAGGGGACACTGCAGGCAGCAGTACAGAAGCAGATGGCACCTGACTCAGACCCTACATGAGGACAATCCTGGTAGAAGTTGGGACAGCAGTGCTAGCCCCAGTTCACTGTGGCCCAAGGAGGAGGGTAGGCAGTGCCGAGAACCCTGTGCTGCATCGCTCTGTACCCCTCTGGGCAGCGTAGCTCATAAGAGGCCCAGATGCCAGAGCCCCAGTCCAACCTCCTAACAGACAGGGCCAGCCTCAGTTTTTCTCTACGGAACACAGAGATGGTGGCTGTGGTGATACTTGCCTGTAATTCAGTACTCAAGGTGCTGAGGAAGGAGGATCTCTGTTAGTTCAAGGCCAGCCTGGATACCTAGTGAGTTCAAGGTCAGCCTGAACTAGTGAGACCCTGTTGCAAAAAAGAGGAAGAAGTAGAAGCAGAGGAAGAGGGAGAGGGAGAGGAGAAAGAAAAGGAATCACATTGGAAATACCTTTGGCACCAATCGGACCAATTTTTCCGTGGCGACCTACACTGCCTTTCTGTCCTTTGTCTCCCATGTCTCCTGCAGAAAACGAGATCACAGTTTTATTGTTGTGCAGGTGACCTGATACACACCTATTTCTCACCATCACACACATGTGTACACGTGTGACCCTCACACTCCTCTTTATCACACACAGGAAGAAGTTACAATGCCACAGCGTGTCTGGCTGCATCTGAAGGTGACTCTCCAGCAGAGGTACCCTCTGAGCTCCTCCAGACGAAGGAGCTTCCGGTGGAGCACACCTGGGTGCCCGACACAGCCAGGGGGCAAAGAGGGCCAAGCTCACTGCGGGCGCTCTGGAATTCAGCTGGCTCAGTGCTCTGAGGTGCGCACCCCAGAGCCACAGAGCACTGCACAGGGGCGGGGGGAGGGGGTCCCGAGCTCCGGGACCCAGGACAGGCAGCCGCCCTACTCCCACCCCACACCCACGCTCGGGCCGGCATGTTGATGCCAAAGGAGAACCCAGCATCAAGCACAGGTTCCAGCTGCTGCCTGTGGATCCTGCCTGGGGGCGCAGCCGTACAGACCCAGGCCCTCACACCCTCCAGCCGAACTGGGGTGGTTCATGGTGCAGCGATATCCCCAGATATTAAACTCCCAGATATCTTTCCAGCTGGGCATGGTGGTGCACATTTGTAATTCCAGCACTCGGGAGGCTGAGGCAGGAGTTTGAGGGGGAGTTTGAGGCCAGCCTAGTGTGTGCATCCAAGGCCAGCTTGAGCTCCCTAATGAGTTCAAGACCAGCCTGGACCACACAGAGAGGCCCATCTCAAACAAGTGTAAAAGTAATCATCTAAAGAGAATAGCCCTCACTTATTGAGCACCTGCTGTTTACTATGCAGTTATCCACATGAATGATCCAGCTTCCTGTCCCAATTCCTTTCCCCTCTGATCTAGCTCTTTAAGGGACCTGGTCCCTCACACATATGTTGCAGCTGCTTTGCAGATAGGATTTCTCTCCTTTGCACACAAAATCTGGCCAAAGCCCTTGCTGTCCCGTCCAAGCCGCTGCCACAGCTCTGCCCACCTCACTGGATGCATACACAGCAACCAGCCAGGCACCACAGGTCTGTGGCTCAGGCGGCCAGGAGCTGGGACCCAGCCTCCTCAGTCTCTGCCCCTTCCACTGCTGCCCCCCCCCCCCGTTCCAGTAGTGGCAGGTACCTTTCTCTCCCGTGGGACCTACTCTTCCAGGCCGTCCTGGGGCTCCTTTGTCTCCCTTCTCTCCTGCATCCCCTGTGGAAGAAGTCACAACTGTTTAACACTGCTCTGACCAGCACAGGGCTGTAGGGCACCCTGGGTATGGCAGGATTTGGAACAGCATGCCCTGTGAGGCAGCGGACGCCCCCCCCCCCACACACACACCACCCCAGCATAATCCCGGTCCCCTCAGCCGAGGCCCCCACAAGGCACAAGCTCTGCATAGGTCCTGCCTGGAACCAGTGGCCGCAATCACCAGGTACAGGATGGGTGGGGATAACTGCTTGAGACGCCCTGCAAGTGGGCTAAGGAGCAATGTGTGGAGGGTCTGGGCCTTAGGAGGCTGGGGTAGAGAGAATTGATCCTTCCCCAGCCTAGTCCTCACCAAAATGATCTTCCTAAAACACGAACTACATTGTGTTTTTCCCTTCTCAAAAGACATATAAAGCCACCAATGGAGCCAGGCATGGTGGCATGCCCCTGTGAGTCCACACCTGGACTCCCTTCTTTGTGACTGGAGCTTGTGCTTCTCATAACCATCTTTACATGGCCTGGCTTCCCTACCTGGAGTTACAGAGAGCTACACAGAGTGACAGGGAGACCGTGTGTGTGTGTGTGTGTGTGTGTGTGTGTGTGTGTGTGTGCGCGCGCATGCCCTAAGTCAACATTTCAGTGAATTTTGATTTTCTGTAATTCTCCATATGTGCTTTGACTTATGAAAGGCTCAATGGCAATAATAGATTCCCCAGTGAAATCTTCAAACCTGGAAATCTGGCCCGAAGGAGGAGACATTCAATTTTTGTTTCTTTTTTTCTTTTTTTTTTTAGACAGAGTCTGGCAAAGTAGTTCAGGCTGGCCTTGAATTCATTATGCAGCATAGGCTGGTCTGGAACTTGCAAACAATTCTCCTGTCTCAGCCTCCCTAGTGTGGGCATTACAGGGATGTACCACCTTGCCCAGCAGGAAATTCAAGTTACACTTAAGTGAACACAAAAAAACATAAATCGAGTGCCAACAAAGCTAAAACACCCTGGTGTCACTCTGGGCTACAGCCCCAAGCTTCCTCCTGAAGACCCCGTGGTCTACGGCGGTGTGGCTTGCCACTTGATCAGAATATATACACGGCCCTGGATCACCCAGTGGTTCTTAAACTTCCTCTTCACTTTCAAAAGAGAGGAAGAGCTGGGTATGCTGGTGCACATCAGTAATCCTAGCTCTTGGGAGGCCAAAGCAAGATGATTATTGAAAGTTCAAGGTCACCTTGGGCTACAGAGTAAGACACTGTCTCAAGAAAGAAGGAGGAGAGAAGAGAGAAAGAAGTAAAGGAAGGAGGAGGAGTAAGAGGAAGAAGAAAGAACAAAAAAGAAAGAGAGGGAAGAAGAAAGGAAGGGAAGCCTTGACAGTAGTACTCTTGGAGAAATGCTGGTCCTCTTTCAAGAGAAGCCAAACAGCCAGGTGAGGGCTCTGTAGAGCACCTTGAAGAGCTCCAGCACCTGCAGGACCAAGAACACCTGCTGCACCTGCTCAGGCCCCACCTGTGCCTCAGGTACACTGGTCACCTGCAGGAAGACAGGAGGGAAGGCTGTGTCTGATGATGACGAGAGCCAAACTGGAGACCCGGATGGTGGAATTCCGGCATAAATCTCCTCCCAGACGGGGCTCATCTAGGAGCCACCCAGCAGGATGGAGAATTTCCCACAGCGCAGTGGTATAAGGCAAGCAATGTGAAAGTTCTGCCAGGTTTTTCCTTTATTTATTTTCCTGTATCAAGTTGAGATTTGAAGAAAAAAGCTCGTAAGTGCTAATCTCCATCTAATAGAGTAATTTTGGGGGGAAGCAGTGGTGATTGAACCCAGAGCTTTCGCTCTCAGCTATGTTCCCAGCCCTTTTTTATTTTTTATTTTTATTGTTTTTTGTCTTTTTCATTTTTATCGGTACCGGGGATCGAACTCACAACCACCTGCTTGCAAGGCAGGTACTTATGCCGCTGAGCTAAATACCCAGCCCCCTTTAATTTATTTTTTATTTTTGGTCTTTCTGAGACAAGGTCTCACTATGCAGTTCAGGCTGGCCTTGAACTCACTTTGTATTTTATGTTTTGAGACACTAAATTGCTGGGGCTGGGCTTGCATTTGTAATCCTACTGCCTCAGCCTCCCAGTGTGCTGGGATTACAGGCTTGTGCCACCATGTCCACGTCAATATGCACCTTCTTGGGAATTCCAGGGAGAGAAGAGACATTCACAACCTTTGGGATGGTGAAGATTACCTGGCTGTGATTTCTCAGTACTGAGGCACAAAAGAGAACCCAGTTAAGGCCTGCCAAGCACTACACAAGGAAAGTAATGCAGAACACCTGAAAGAAGACTCTAAAGCTGCCTGGAGAGGAGAAGATAGGGGCTGGCATGCATGGGAATGGAAATCAGGTTGACGCAGGATTGTCAGCAGAGGTGATGACTGCTAGGTGCATCCCTGAGAAGGTCATGCTAAGAATGGGACACATGGCAAGGCAGACAAGGTCCCGGGAGGTCACAGGAAACAGGGTGGCCAGGGCCAGGATGCCTCGGGAAGCAATACAGCTGGGGATGGGGGCTGGGGGAGGGTGACACAGTCATCCGTGTGTAGCGACACAGGAAAGGCACTGTGCCCTGCGGGGACCTGGACGAGGGAGGGTGTGTATGGAGCACCATGGCTGCCTGTGTCTCAGCACGGACCATGGCCGCCCTGATGGCTCTGGTCATATGGTGGGAGGAGGCGCCTGGCATCTGCCCACAGAACAGGACAGCGCCCCTCCATCCAGCGGGCTCCCCGACCATAGGGCCGATCCTGGGTCTCCACAACGTGACTTAGAGCTGCCCAGCCTGACCTCCCAGGAGAGTTTGTGTCCTGCCTAGGCCTGAGCTGGGCCGACCCCCAGTCCCTGCAAGAGGCCTGAGCTGGTTTGGTTTGGTTTGGTTTGGTTTGAAATAGGTTCTCATTATGTAGCACAGGCTGGCCTGGAACTCAGTGATTCTCCTGCCTCAGCCTCCCACATGCTGGGTGACAGGAGAGGCCCAATTTCACATTATGCACTAGAGTACTTGGTGCCTCTTCTGACCTGGTTTGCAGCTCAACACCATGCACCCCACTCTCTTCAGCTGGATTATGCCAAGAGTCGGCAGTTCAGGGAGCCCCTGGGGGTCCCTGCTCAGCCCACCTGGAAGGGAGTGACCCTGGGTCAGGGTACAGAAATTGAGGGGCCCTGGATGTTCTCACATGCACTGTCCCTTTTAGCTGGCAGGAACACAGCTGCCCCCACTTATTGAGTGGCCTGATGGTCCTGCTGGAGGCCCACGTTATCCCCCACATGTGGCCCCATGTAGGAGTTGGGGCTCGGCTTGTGCTTTGTGGAAACCACACCTTCCACAAGAAGGTGACACACGGTAGTCTCTGCCAGCCTCCTCCAGCTGTCACCCCCAGATCAGCAGCTACTGCACGTGAGCAACAGGCAAAGCAAGAGGAAAAATGTTAGGTTTTAATGATGAAGAACTGGTATTGGGCGTGGTGGCACACACCTGTGATCCCTGCACTCAGGAGATTGCCGCAGGAGGGTCTCCAAGAGCCAAGGCGAGCCTGGGCTATATAAGCAGGTTCAAAACCAGTAAACCAGTCTGCTCTACATTGGGAGATCCTGCCTCAAATAAAAATAAATGAATAAATAAGAAAGAAAGAATGAATTTGAACTTTTTCTTCCCATTTCCCAATATATAATATTCATTTTTGTCCTTATTTTGAAGAAAATGTTCAAGTGAAAAGGGGAACAAGAGAGGGGGAGAGGAAATGAAAGAAAGGACGAGACATAGAAGGGGAAAATGGAAACAAAGCTTTTTGTAAATAAGGAGAAGAGAGATGGGAGGAAAAGCAGCAGAATGTACCATGGGCAGGTCTGAATTCCCAGCCACAAAGCTTATCGCCAGGTAGATCCAAAATGTACCAAGGGAACTAAAAACAAGCAGGCCAGTGCACGCCCGGTGTGCAGAGCCCCGCTCTCACACTGCAGGGCGCACTTCTTTCCTTGGTTTTCTTTGGCCCAAATTCACCCTGTAGAACCTGTAGGAAAACTTTGCTATTTAAAAAATTAAAATAGGACTGGGGGTTTAGCTCAGTGGCAGGAGCACCTGCCTGGCAAGCATGAGGTTGTGAGTTCAATCCCTGGTACCAAAAATGAATGAATGAATTAATTAAAAATAGAATACAATAAAACAACAAAAAACAAAAATGAAGAATATGTGTCGGGTGTGGAAGGGCATACCTGTCATCCTGGCACTCAGGAGGCTGAGGCAGTTGGATCACCAGGAATTTGAGGTCAGCCTGGGCTACATACTGAGTACAAGGCCTGAACTGCAGAGTGAGACTCGGTCTCAACTACAACAACAAAGAATAGAGAGCTCTCTGGAGCCAGCAGAGGGACAAACCGTGGAGCCTGAGACAAACTGGTAAATTTCCCTGAGTTTCCAATGTCTGTCTGTCAAAGGTACCCCAAAATAGGTCCCTCGTGCTGAGATCATGCATGTGGTTCCTGGGCAAATGCCAGGAGCCTTGTGGCAGCTCCTGTGGAGAAGACCGAGCTGCCAGTAAACGGCTGACTTCGGAATCTTGCAGTTGAGGCACCATGCAGCCTGAGCACTGATAGAGAAATGGGGAAACTGAGACCTAAAAGATGAGTGGATTTGCCCAGAGTCTGTGCTCTGTGCACCTCTGTTCTGCGGCCTGGCTGTGAGGGACCACACAACGGCACCACTTACCTTTGAGGCCGGGGACAAGGATCTGCACGGAGCAGGCATCCTCTGCAGCTGGCTGGGGACGTGCAGGTGGCAGCAGCAACAGACAGGCTAGGCCGAGTAGCACACTCATGAGCGCCAGGTCTCTGCTCATTGTGGGCACCGGCAGGACATTGACTCCTGGACGGGGCAGAGTGATGGGCACACAGAGGGCAACGTGTGACTGCGAGCAGGGCTGCCCCTGTCCACACCGCCCCGCACTCTCCCTTCTCCCTGAGCCACCTGACTGCCTTCAGGATGGTTACAGGCACCTCTGGCCCCAGGCAGAACATGGCAGCCTGCATGGAACACCAGATAGACAGGGTGAGAAAAAACATCTGGATAGGTGAAAGAATTAAGGACATCAAAGTGCAGAGGTGCATGTAGTAGCAGCAAAACTCAGAACAGCTGAATCTTGCAAGTGACCTACATTCCCATGGACAGATAAAGGACAAAGGAACCATGTGTTGACACAGCCTGGAGTACTACTCTGCCAAAAAGAAGGATGGGCTTGAAAACAGATGCACCGCTGGGCATGGTGGCTCACACTTGTAATCCTAGCACTGGGGAAACTGAGGCAGGAGGACTGTTGCAAGTTCGAGACCAGCCTGGGCTACAAAGTGAGCTCAAGGCCAGCCTGAAATGCATAGAGACCCTATCTCAAAAAAAAAGACAAAAAAAAAAAAAAAAAAAAAAAAAAAACAGCGATGCACCTTGAGATCTGTTTTGTCTTTTGTTTTTCTGAGACATGGTCTCACCCTGTAGACTAGACTGGCGTGATACTCATGATGATCCTCCTGTCTCAGCCTCCCAAATGCTAGGATTACAGGTGTGTGCTACCATACCTGGTGAGACTATATTGTTAAGTGAAAAAAATCAAGCACACAAGTTTAAATATCACACCGTTTCTCTTATATGAGATTCCAGCATAGATAAAAAGCAAAACAAAAGACAATAGAAAGTAGGAAGATCGATCTTTTGCAAAACGAGGAGGTCAAGAGATGGAGGGAGCAGGAAAAAGGAAAAGCAAAAAGATTCTGAAAGAATTAAAAACACCAGTCATGGTGATGCATGCTTGTCATCCCAGCATCTGAGAGGCTGAGGCAGGAGGATCGCTGCAAGTTTAAGACCAGCCTGGGCTACATAGTGAGTTCAAAGCCATCCTGGACTATATAGAGAGAACTTGTCTCCAAAAAGAAATAAAACAAACAAAAATTGAAATGTGCTACATACATGCACCAGTTCCAACAGTGAATATAATCATGTGCTGCAAACATGCACTGATAAAATTAAACAAAGAAACCACTGCGAGAGAGGACCAGGCGCCCCGCCCCCAGGAGCCCTGGCTGGCTAGCTGCCTGCCTTCTGGGGAGGAATTTGGTTGTGTAAACGTAGAAGGACAGCGCACCCAGGGTCCCCTTAAGAACAACATCCTTATCTTCCCGGCTGGGTGTAAGAGGCCCGCTGTGTGTGGGGGGCTGGGGGATTAGCCATGGAGTCCAGAGCAGAAATTCGCTCTGAATCAGGGGGGCGGGGGATGACCGACACACAACAGCTTGACTTCCAGGGCCCCGCATACAATGCAGTGATGTTTTTCAACTTGCAGCAGGGCCAGCATCATGCAGAGAAACTACAGGTATCTCTGGAGCCCCACTTTGCAGCACTGAGTAGGGCTGGGGTCCCAGGACCCCCACCACCTACCCTCCACCCCACCCCCTGCTACCACGCTGCCCTGCTTTTTTCTGTTTTCATAACGCATTTTGAGACCAGATCTCACTAATCAGCTGCCCATGCTGGCCTCAGACTTGCTGCCCTCCTGCCCCAGCCTGCCAGAGGGCCCGGATTACAGGATTTCTACCCACAACACACGCAGGCTTCTCCACCCAGAGCGCAGTGACAAGACGCCTCTGCCCTCTTCTCGGTCCACGGCTTTAATCACACATCAGTGTGTTTTCTGGCACAGGTTTCTTGGGATCACAGATACAATGCCATCGCTGCGAGGATTTGGGAGACTGGCCAGATGCCTGTGGCAGTGTGCTCCCCATCCAGTGGAAAACCGGGTCACGCACAGCGCATTCCTCGGGCCACAGTGCATCGTTTACATTTGGGGTGACCATGCTCCTTCCAATCTAATTCGACAGCCGGGTTGTGGGCGAGGGGTCCAGGCAGGAGCTGCTGGACTGCTGATCCCCCCCCCCACCTTCCTGTGACTCTGTAGCCACCCGGAGCTGGCACAAGGAACTCCATTACCCTCGAAGTCACAGTCCAGCACCCGTGTGGTGATGGACACCATCCCTGCCTGCATCTAAGAAGTCCCGGCCCCGGCCCTAGCCCTGGCCCCAGCCCCATCACAGCATCTCAGCCCCCGCCAGCCTTGCTCAAAGCCCGGCAGCATCTCCTACCCAGCAGCACACGTTAGGCGAGGGACGTCCCAATCGCTGTCCTGACCGATGCGGTCCCACGGGGACACTGCACTGCAGGGCAGCATAGCTGCTATTTAGAGGCCAGCAGCCTGGCCCAGCACGGGGAGCCCTGCCTGCTGCAGAGCCCTGTTTATCTGCAGCCACTTCCTGTCCGAGCCCCCGTGTCCTGCAGCTGGCTAGGGGGTGTGGGAACACAGCGGGGGTGAGCTCTCCCTCCTGGCTATTTCACCTCTTTCCTGATTTTGTCCTTTTGTACGGTGCTGGGGTTTTTGAATGAACCCAAGGCCTTCACCTTGAACTACATCCCCAGCCCTTTTTATTTGAGACAAGGCCTTGCTAAATCGCCCAGGTGGGACTCAACTTGTGATCTTCCTGCCCAGTGCAGGGGTTATGTGCCCAAGTCACCATGCCTGGCTCTTTTTTCTCAGCACATGGGATAGAACCCAGGGTCTCATGCAGGCTAACCAAACACCCTAATCTTGAGATACATCACCAGCTTTTTTTTTTTTTGGTTTTTAGAAAGATCTTGCTAGTCTTGCTATGTGGTTCAGGATGGCTTCCGACTATGTAGCCTAGGTTGTCCTCAAACTTGTGGAGACCCTCCCACCTCAGCCTCCTGAATGCTGGGATTACAGGCATGCACCACAGCTGGCTGTTATTTTTAATGTGCGCACCACAGAATTCATAAGCATAAAGATGTAATAACAGTCACCCAGCATTGGGTCAGCCAACAATAAGCCAAATTGACCCTTCCTTCTTCATGGATTGTCCTAGAAAAGGTGCCAGACTACCACTTGGGGAGACCTGGCCCACCCAGTACTGTGGTTCCATGTAAAGGGAGTGGACACTAGAAGTATCTTCTTAAACACAGATGCAAATAAGCCAGACGTGGTACTGCACCCCTGTAATCCCAGCACACTGGTAAACTGAGGCAGAATGGAAAGTTGCAGCTCAGCCTGGGGAAATTTTGCCAGACTGTCTCAAAATGAAACACAGGGGCTGGGGTGTAATTCAGTAAGGTTCTGGGTTCCATCCCTAGTAGTGCTCCTCCCCCCCAAAAAATGACTGAGCAATTGCAGTACTGGGCATTTTCCCCAGGCCTGAAAACATCCACACAGAGCGGGCCACAGGAGCTTACAATGACTTTCATTTGCAGCAGCCCAAGCAGTAAGCAGCTGAGGTCCTTTACCAGAAAAATGTTAGGTCAACTATGCAACAGGCGAGCTCCAAACCTCAAGTCAGCCACAAAAAGGAGCAACAGATGGACCCACACAGCTAGACACTCGGGGATTCAGCAGTCCTTGTGTCGTGGCTTCCTTCTGGGTAGCCCCAGAGAATGATGCAGTGTCTACATGCAGAGCAGGTTTTTTCAAATCCTGAGAAATTCAGTTGTATGATGCATGCCTGGGTATGCCACAGAGAGCCACTTTCTGGTGGACCCCTGCTCCGCACTTCCCATTTCGTGAATGGAGGCCCTGCCCCCAGCAGCTTCTGAGAGTGTTTACTTTGCTTGGGAGATAAGCGGGAAGCCTGGGCAGCAGGCCTTGCAGAGCGGGGAAACGCTGCTCCTGGACCCCATGTCCACCAGGGCCTTACCCCAGCCTGGTCACTAGAGACAGTGTGGCCAGGGGTGCAGGCACAGCCCATCTCAGTCCTACAGGGTCACCTGAAGGTGCTTAATGAATACCTACTACACTCAAAGCCAGAGGAGACTCCATTTATCCCCAGAGGCCCACTTCCAAGTCCAACCCCAGAGCACAGCACCCTTCGGCTGGGACCGGTGCACAAGACCTGTGCCCTTGGGTGACCCTCCAGCACCCACCCTGGTGCTACTGTATCACAGAACACTGAACTGCTTTCACAAAAGTTAACATTTTGGTGAAAACAAATGTAGTCCTGTTAGTAATTTTATCCATTTAAAATCCCCTTAGCCGGATGTGGAGGTACACACCTGTAATCCCAGTACCCTGGAGGCTGAGCTGGGAGAAACACTTCAACCAGGGTACTAGGAATGATACTTTATTGTGACATTTACAACTGTTTACAACTGAAACTCTGGGAATTCAAAATTAACATCCTTGCCCGTGAGCTTCTTATAGACACCGGAGAATGTTTCGACCTGGAAAGGGAAAGAAGGAGGAAAGTCACACGGAGAACTCTCTGGCGCTGGCCTTTCAAAGCGGCCATGTGGGCTTCCATTCCAGTCCCACCCCGTGGGTAGCCCACCTTGTGCTCCACATTGTTCTGCTGTGCCTTGTCCAGGTGCACCTTGATGAGCCGGCTGCCGTCCAGCTTCACTCGGATCCGCTTGCCCACAATTTCACTGGGGAAGACCAGGTCCTCCAGGATGGCATCGTGCACAGCCGTCAGTGTGCGGCTAAAAGAAGGGTGGCGCATGAGGGAACCCAGGGGCACCTCCTGGGGCCAAAGAACCACACAGAAATCCTGCAGGGCATGTGCCTACAATCCTTGCACTCTGGGAAGCTGAGGCAGGAAGGTGGCCAGGATACGGAGCCCAGTCTAACCTGGGCTACACAGTGAGCCCAAGGCCAGCCTGGACAACACAGAGACTCCATCCAACTCAACTCCCTGCCCCTGAAAAACCCCCGCAAGGGCAGCTTACCTACTAAACAGCCTTCAGGGGCCCACTTTTGCCTCCAAAAGCCAACATAAATCCCTGCCTGCTATGATCAAGACATACTATGCTCAGCCCAGACCACAGGGGCACACACGATGATCATGGTGCCAGCTGCATAGGACACAGGGCTCAGCCTGGTGACCTGCATCAGAGGGCACCTGGTCCACAGTTCACCCAACATCCAGGTATGAGCTATCACCGGACTGCACTGCAGAGATGGGTCAACTGTAACCCCCATGGCACCAGCCCAGCGAAGATTCCAACTGACAACCCAAGTCCTCGATGCTGGTCAAGCTGTGTCACTTTCAAGTCAGATGACCTCACCAGTCTGGCCTCTGGGGTCCCCACTACTCTAGCATCCAAAGCATCAGGCTGAGCTGAGGGGAAGCTCTGTGCGCCCTCACTTCTTGCTGCACAGCCTAGTACCGTGGTCACCTGTCTAAGTCTCACTCCACACAGCCGGAAACGCCCAGACTGGTCACTCCCGCTCCCTGTCACATTTCAACCTGGGGCATGCCTGTGTGGCTGCTCTTGCTGTGTTCCAGGATACTTTCTGGGATGCAGTGTGACTGGGAGGGTGATCCGGATGGAAACATGCTAGCGACACTGTCACAATGCTAGCTGTCCCTCTGCTCAGCACCCTGGACGCCAGGGAGTGCAACAGCCACACTGCTATTCCTTTCAGACCCCAACACTATCAGGTGGTACCCACAGCCCATGGGGACTCCGCCACGGGAGGAGCAGAGGTCTGCACCAAGGCCTGAGGCAGTGCTGCAGCTGCGCAGGGGCAGAGGTGCTCCTGGCCAGCCTGGCTGTGCCTGAGGGCAGCTGACAGCACAGTGCCTCTTCACGGACCCCGGGAGACCCAGCCCCCATGGCACAGAGGAGCAGTCTCTGTAGATCCTGCTGACTTTCCTGAACATGCCTGACTTCACACAATTCTCAGCTCTGCTACTATCAGCCAGAACCAGCCAGTCCTTCAAGCCTGGGGTCCATGCTCTCATCCATCAGCCACAGAAGGCACACAACACACTCCAGAGAGTGACTTCACACTACAGCAGCACCAGGAAAACCTGCTTCGCACCTCTCACCCCCAGCACAAGGAAAAAGAGAAACCAACCCCAGCTCACCTCGATGTCTCATACACTTAGCAAGAGCAGGAGCACTACTTCCTTCTCGAATTTCATCCTTCTGCCAGGACTTGGCCCTGCGAGCCCCTGCAGTCCCCCAGCGACACCTGGAGACTCACCTTCTGGGACGCTTCTGCTTGTTTTTCGTGCGGCTTTTTCGGGTTGGCTTAGGCAGAATTCTCCTCTGTTAAGGTGCAAAAACAAAACACAAAAAAAGACTTTCGGTTGACAGAAGGCAAGAACTGTCTAGATCATGTAACAGCAACACACTTAGCTTCAACTTTGAGAAAACTCAGACCCAACAGCAGGCTTAGACCCCTCCTGTGTTACTCCTGATTTCTCAGAAACTCATTCAGACTCTCCTGCTTATGTTACTGGGGAAGGAAAAAAAAATCCCAACTATCAATCTTTCTACATTCAGAAAGGTCCAGTTACCCAACAAGGGCAGGGAAGCACAGCCCAGTCCATTCCTGGAAGGTAGCTACAAAGACGCCTTTCCCAACTGCCCCTCTCCTGCGCACTTCACCCTGGGTTCCCGAGCAGCTGTGTGCAGAAGCTGTGCCCATAGGGAGCCAGCCCACAGCTCGGAGACACCCAGTGTGGAGCAGAGCTCCTCATCCTGATGGTCAGGGTTTAGAGGAGATGCGCTGTCTCTAACTCCTGACAGCCTCCACCCCTAATCAGGCTGCCTTCCGCCTTCCTTCTGCTCCTTGCTGTCTCGGCCTTGGCACGGTTATCACCAAGCACCAGGAGCAGGAGGGCAGCTACCTGTGCGATGAAGACCACGTGCTTCCCGCTGAACTTCTTCTCCAGCTCTCGAACAAGCCGGACCTGGATTTTCTGGAAAGACTTCAGCTGGGGAACTGGCACAAAAATGATGATAGCTTTCCGACCACCGCCAACTTCGATTTCCTGAAGGGGACAAAAAAAAAAAAAAAAAAAAAAAAAGATAAATTCATAAATAGCCTTCAAGCGGGATCCCATACGCGCTGTTTAAGGTAAACACCGGTGGTCATAAACCAGGATGCTTCAGTCACTACCAGCTCTTGTAAACACCACCTTGCTAAAGTCCAGATATGGCCAAGTGTCCAGGGCTCAGATGTTGAAACCAAATCCTCACAAGGAGGTTCTGAAGTGGAAACTAAGCTGCCATTTAGAGATGGAGCCTCAGGTAAGGTATCCCCTCCACTGTGTGACTTCCGGTGGCTGTGAGGAAGAGGACCAGACACACACACCAGCCCTGACCCTGGTCAGGCACCATCACCTCAGGATGCGCCTCTCTCACCCTGTGCCCTCCAGAACCAGGAAGGAAAACGAACCTTTACTGATAGCCCACCCAGCCTGGGGAGGGTAACAAGCAATACCAAAGGCACTAAATCCGCTTCGTAGTTTATAGTCTCCTACCCCACAAATGAGGCATGAAACTTTCAAAGCTGGGTGCGAAGCCACACACCCATAATCCCAGCACTAGAGGCTGAAGCAAGACTGAGCTACACAACAGGACCCCGTCTCAAAAACCAAAACAAAACCAAACAGTTACGTTACTTTTTGTGCGAGAAGTATGCCCTGGTTTTAGGTTTTTTTTTTAAGATCAGGTCTCCCTGTGTAGCCCATACTGGCCTTGACTCGTCGGGGATCCTCCTGTCTCAGCCTCCAGAGCGCTGGGTTTACAGATTTGCAACGCCACGCATGGCTACCAAATAGACACAACCTAGACAACTGCTTCGCAACGTTAATGCTGCGGTCAAGCTAAAGGTAAGGAGCGAGCTGCACAGAGCTGTCAGTTGCACGAAGTTTACGTCGTCTCGCTACCTCGCCATCGCATCTCACCTTGGCCGCTGTAATGTTGAGCTCGCGCAGCTGCGCCTTGAGGTCCGAGTTCATCTCCAATTCTAGCAAGGCCTGCGAGATGCCAGACTCAAATTCGTCCGGCTTCTCGCCATTGGGCTTCACGATCTTGGCGCTCGAGCTGAACATGGCGAGACTGCAGACAGAACGCGGGATCAGACTCCAGCCGCCCTCCCGACAGGCCCGCGGGGACCATCGGCGGGCGCCAACCCGATAATCCAAACCATCCCCACCTGAGTGCAGGGCCCCCTGCTCAGGGCGACCCTGCGAGGTCTGGGACCCCCGGAACCAGCAGAAAAGCGCTAGACGAAGAAGGCCTATTACCTACCTTGTGGAGCGCCGGCTTAGGAAGAGGCCCGGCTCTCGCGAGAGTTCGTCATATCCCGGAGCGAGAGGAAGGGGTGGAAACCGGAAGAGGCATTGAGAAGGACTCTGACCCTAGAGAGTCCCCGGAAGTGCCTCCGGAGGACTGGTGTGTAGGTAAATCTTGTCCGTACGAGAACTTGTCTTGAGTGTAGCTTTACTTCCCGAGCTCTCTCTCAAAGTTCTGGTTCTCAATATCCGTCACAGAAAACAGTCGAGTCTAGATTTTGGCGAGTGAATAAGCACCGCAAAACAGGGCTACTTAATAAAACAGGGCTGTTCTGTTCTGTGTTGTTTTTTTTTCCGAGAAAGTGGCTGTAATCGCAACACTCCGGAGGCTGAGGCAGTTGTTCGTCAGGAGTTTGAGGCCAGCCTAGTGCGTTACATAAGCAAGTTCAAGGCCAGCCTTTACCACATACCAAGATCCTCGCCCTACCCCACCCTCCAAAAAATCGAAGCCTCAGTAAGTAGTTGAGGCTGACCTGGAAATTACTGTGTAGCCCAGGCTGGCCTCTAGTTTGAGGCAATCCTCCTGCTTCCACCTCCCAAAGCACTAAGTACTGATGTACCATCATGCCCAGGGGGAAAAAAAACCAGGTTGTTTAGGAGAAAAAAAAAAAAACTTGTAAGAGAAAAACAATATTTAAAAGAGAAAAATACTTGTAAAATTTTGAGACACTATCTTGTCTGACATGGGGTGTGCTCCTGTAATCCTAACTACTCGAGGAGCTGAGTCAAGAGAATGTCAAGTAGTCAGAGCCTGGCCTGTGCAACTTAGTGAGACCCTGTCTCAAAATAATAAAAGATCTGGGAATGTCGCTCAGCTCTGCAGCTTTTACCCAGTATGTGTGAGGCCCTGAAAAAACATTAACTTAGCAAACATAACCGAGCAAATTCTGCTGAGACAATGAAGAGGAAGCAGGCGTTCATTCTTCAGCGCATCAGGGAGATTGTGTTTGCCAAAAGGTCTTTGGCAACCAAGTGCTTTAGGAGTCACTGTCAGGCCATTGGGACAGAACTGAGCTCTAATATCATCGGGCTGGGTGGACAGCTGTGGGACATCTGGAAAAACCCATCTTTGAGGTTAGGCTGCTTGGTTGCTGTCACGGTTTATGTGTGTGTCCCCAGGCCTCAAGAGTTTGCATTGTGCATTTGCATTGTCTAGTGCCTTGATTGATGGTGTTAGTGCTACAACCCACAGAGGGGTGGAGCCAGGATGTGATGTAATGGCAGGAAGAAGGTGTGTCTTGCTCTCTTTGCTGGTTGGAGAGTTTGCTGTTTGCAGCCGCTGTGAAAAGCGGCCCAGCCATGCCCGCCTTCCTGGGAGCCAAATGAGTGTGGACTAAAACCTCCAAAAACTGTAAGAAATAAACCTTTCCTTTCCCAACTTGGGCATCAGGTATTTTGTCTCAGCTACGAGCATAAAGTAACTAAGACAGTTGCAGTTCAGATTTGTGCATGGCACTGCCCCATCCTGCAGCCAGGACTGCATGAGAGGCGGAGAGTTATGCCAGAGGCATAACTCAGGCTCAATGACACAGGACACCCATGGAATGAAAAAGAGGCTCTGCGGCTGGGCATCTGTAGTGCCAGCACTTGGGAGGCTGAGGCAAGAGGATCAGTATATGTTCAAGGCTATAAAGTGAGTTCAGGGGCAACCTGAATTGCATAGTGAAACCCTGTCTCAAAAAGACAAAAAAAAAAAAAAGTGCTCTGGGAACAATTGAGATGTAGACCAAACAACTTCATCTGACCAGGGTAGGATCTGAAAGCCAGAAGGACATGGGTATGGTAAAATTTTTGAGGATAGACGGAGTGTGGTAGTACGCACTGCTCATCCAGCATTCAAGAGGCTGAGGCAGGAAGATCATGAGTTTGCAGTCACCCTGGAAAACTTAGCAACTTCAAGGCCAGTCTGGTCACTTATGAGACACTGTGCCACAACAAAAAGGAGGGTGCGGGCCCATCGGGGAGCAGAGCCTGCAGCACTGCTGCTATGTGTGGCCTGGCTCCTCCTGGGAGACGGCAGGTGAGAAGGAATGGACACATGAGCATCCTGGACCCTTCCCCTAATCCTCTCCAGTGAGTCATTGATCATCGGGGTGACCTGCTGGCACAGCCAAATTACGGAAGGATGTGTTTACCTGTCCAGCTCAGTGACAATGTGGTGCTTAGCAGAACATCATAATGACCCCGGATGGAGCATTAGAGTCACTGTCCAGGGTGGGGAGGATTTGCTTTCCATCATCCCTCGAGGTTTGTTGGATCACCCTCATGTGAGGTGTCCACCCAGGGTTTTTGAGTCAGTCAACAAATCAGCTGTCCGGAGTGACCTGTCACATCATTGGTGATGGATTTTGACCTTGAGGGCCGCTCCCATCCTCATGAAGGCCTGGGCAGAAGATCCACTCACCCAGAGTGGGTTTCTCCACCAAGGGCTGTCATCAGGTCTGATTCCACGTTTGAATTTTCCCAGAGGATTGAGGCCCCCAGGCAGGATGTGGGCAACCCTGTATGTCCAATGCAAGGTAAGGCTTTGAGTCTTCTGGGAGATGAAGTGTGGCCAATTGTCCCTCTGGAAGGACTGGTGATCATCTCTCTTTGGAAGGCCTGGGCTACCTGGATGGCCTGTTCTGTGCAGGGGCGGGGAAGTCTCTGTCCATCCAGCATAGGTGTCCACACATATGAGCTGTGTTTGTGTCCCACAGGGGACAGGATAAAATCTCTGCCGGCCCTCCCAGGGCCTTCCCCTTCTGCTGGTTAGGTTCAGGGATAGGACAAGGGGCTTCCCTGAATACACAGGGGCACAGTGACCACACCTTTGCCACAACAGTAGGGATTTCTGGTCTGGCAAAGAGCTGGTGGGCTCTAGCCGGGGTGGGGGTGGCATCCTTCCCACATGGAAGGTGTCATGGAGACTCAAGCACTTTCCGTAGGGTGCTCTTTGGCAGATAACCACTGGTGCCCGACATCCAGCATCCTCTCCATGTGCACCTCCCAGCCCTGTGGCTCGTGTGTTTCTACATTAGAATCCTGTGGGAGACCTGTGGATGAGTCACCCCTTCCTCCTGTCTCCCACAGGCAGAGAATTGCTTTGCCTGTGTTTTTCAGGGAACTGAGCATCCCCTCCAGAGTCCTCTCTTTCCACAGGACTGTGTGGTTGTGAAGGGCCAGGAAAGCCCTTCTGCACGGATTCTTTGAATCCGTGCAGCTGTTGAGGCATTGGCCCTTGTTTAACTTGGGCTCTGGTGAGATCTCTAATCTCAGCCTCTTGGGCGGAATTGCTGGGGAGGATCCATCAGCCTTGATTGTTCTGCTTGCTCTCCTGTTTCTAGGTGACTCCAGGCTGCTCTCACTGGTAAACCAAGGGAGGGCCTCACGCTTTGAGGGTTATTATCTAAATCTACATTGGGGGCACCAGTCTGGTGTTAACCTGGTCGCTGTGTTCAACGAGAGGCCCATTGGGCAACAGGGTGGCCAGGTTGAGGGGGCTCCAGGTTGGGTTACTCTGGGGCACTTAAGGGCCACTTGGTGCCCAGTCTACCATGGTCAGCTACAAGTGACTTCTGGGTTTTACGAGTGTCAGGACCCAAGAGCTGAGTTTAGTGTCTCCTCTTCCAGCAGGACAGTGGTGTCTGTGGCTGCCTGGTAGCTTGGCCACTTCTATGCTACCCCATCCACTTGCCTGGTGCCAGCTTCTGGGTAAGGGAATTCTGTGGTTATGTCAGGTGAGGAATTCCTAGGGCTAGAGCCTGAGCTAAGGAGTTTAAGATTTCGAAGACCTCAGCAATCTGAGGCGTCCATTCTCATAGGTCGTCCCTAGGTCTACAAATGGCCTTGCACATGGGTTTTGCTCTGACCCCAGAGTGAAGGATCAGATGTGGCAGAATCTGACCACTTTCACACATGCCCTGCATTGCCTCTGGGACTGGGGTGACCCCAGCTGACAAATGACCTTTATTCTCAGGAGAGACACAGCCAAGATGAATGACCCAGCGTAGACAGACTGGGGATGTAGGCTTGGAGATTTATGGCCAAAAGGTTGAGCTCTGTCACTTCAGTCTGATTGGACAGCTCCTCGCTGGGGTAGTAGAGGAGGAGGGCACCACTGGATTGGAGGACACTTTGCTTTTCCAGCTATAGATCCCTAGGTCTGTGGACACAATGTGGGACTGTCTGGGAATTCCTAGGGAAGCTCAGTCAGGCAAGTCATTAGTGGGATGTGTTGAGAAGATCCTCAAGCTCAGAGGTGAATCAAAATTGGGAGTTTGATTCAGTGGGGTAGGAAAGCAAACATCTTTTATTTTTTTATTTTTTATTTTTTTAGTACCGGGATTGAACTCATGGCCTCAAGCTTGCAAGGCAGGCACTTATGCCACTGAGCTAAATTCCCAGCCCAGCAAGCATCTTTTAAATCCAGCACTGAGAGCCATTATGCATCCCCAGTGATCTAAGCAGGAGTGCACAGACTCATCCGGAAGCTGATGGATAGTGGATAGTGATCAATGTGTCATCTATACCCTCAGATCCTGGACCCACTGTTACTCTCCTGACATTGTCCTTACCAGTAGGACAGGGGTGTGGCAGGGGGAACTGACAGCTGTCAAACATCCCATCAGCCAGAAGGCTTGCTTTTATTGGCTGGAGTCCAAGTTTGGCCTCTTTTTTTTTTTTTTTTTTTGTCTTCTTCTTGTACCAATCTTTTCCTCTTTTTCTTCTTCTTCCTCTTCTTCCTCCTCCTCTTCCTTTTTTTTTCTGCTTCTGCTTCTTTTTTTTCCTTTTTATTCTTTTTTTCTGCTTCTTTTTTTCTACACATTTTCTTTAGTGATCTTCTTCTTCTTTTTGAAGAGCAGAACATATGAGAGAAAGAAAGCTTTTGTCTGAGAGAGAGAGACAAAAGGGGTCCCAAGTTGGTTTTCCCTTATTTGTTTTTTGAAACAGTGTTTTACTATGTATCCCAGGCTGGCTTCAAACTGGTGGCAATCCTTCTGCCTGAGCCTCCTGAGTGCTGAGATTATGGGCATGTACCACTATGCCCAGCCCTGTCTTTTAGTTTGCTACTTATTTTTGCATTAATAAAATGAGAACCATATGGTATTATGTATCTGGTTTATTTTACTTAACATTGTTTTTCCAGGTGAATATAGTTTTTCTTTCTTTGTGTGTGTGTGTGTGTTTTTGAGACAGGGTCTCGCTATATAGTTCAGGCTGGCTTGAGCTCACTTTGTAGCTCGGGCTGGTCTCGAACTTGCAACTATTCTCCTACCTCAGCCTTTTGAGTGTTGGGATTACAGGTGTGCACCACCACACCTGGCTTGTGAATTCATTTTCTAACAAATGCCTTGAATTTATCCTTCTTTATAGCAGAGTGGCATTCCATTATGTATAGATAGCACATTATCTTTATTCATGTCTCTGTTGATGGGCCCCGGATTCCCCTTTTATCCTATCTCCATCTACCCATCTACCTATTTAATCTATCTGTGGTATCTATCATGTGTTTCTTTTTGCAATACTGGGGACTGAACAGGGCCTTCACGCTGGGCTACATCCTCAGACCTTTTTTACTTTTATTTATTTATTTGAAATACTAAATTTCATTTCAAAATGAAATTTATTTGAAATAATAAACCAGGAATGGAACTCTCGACAGCACGCTTGCCAGGCAGGCATTTATGCCGCTGAGCTAATCCCCGGCCTCCAGACATTTTTTTTTTTTTAATTTCGAGACAACTCAGTCAGGCTGGAACTTGTGATACTCCTGCCTCAGCCTCCCAGGGAGCTGGAATTACAGGGGTGCACTACCAGGACTTGCCATCCTCTGGTCAGTTGCCCGCTTGGAACAGGAAGGGGCCGCCCCTGCGAGCGCACACCCCAAGCTTAGGGGTCTAGCCGGGCCCACGCTCCCTCTTTTGTCCTTCCCTGTACACAGTCTCCTGAGCAGCCGGACACGGAGCCCATCCTGTTGTAGCCCACGCCAGGACCATCCACGCGACTGTCACATCCGGGAGCCTGGGAGCCCCGCCCACCAGCAGCGGCCCACGCCCTCCTGGAGTGTCGTCATTTCTCCGCGCCGCTACCGGAAGTGTGGTAGTGAGCGCTTCTGGATCCGCCTGGGTTCTCTGGACCTTCAAAATGTGGCGCCCTGCGCGGAAGTGAGCAATGCGCTGGGTCCTGCCGCTGGCCCGCAAAGTGTCTCTCGGTGTTGTGCGCTATAGCCACAGCCCCTGCAGGCTCGGGATGTTCTATGCGGTGCGCAGAGGCCGTAGGACCGGGGTCTTCTCGACTTGGTGAGTGGCAGCTGCGCTAGGTCGTCCTAGCGTGGCGACCGGAGGGTTTGGAGCCCCAAAGCCCGCGGCAGAAAGACCACTGTAGTTTGGGAGCGACCTTTGTTATAACTGAGGAATTCCTAAAGGAAGCACATAGCCGTGCGTAGTGTCACAACCGGTTACCCCATCAATTGGCAGATTGAGGAGGACGGTCGCGTGGAGTTGGAGGCCAGCCCGGGCTACATAATGCGACTCAAACGACCCTCAAAAGTAATACATGGTCAGTATCAGCTAGCATTGCCAGGTTTTCCGTGCAGTAAATCGGAAGTCTAATTCAAATGTACCTTGTCCTGTCTTTTGGGGATGTGCTTTTAAAGAAATTGGTGAGCTAGCATTGGCGATTGGATCCCCGTAACACCCATACTGTAACACTATACCCACGGGATTATCCTTATGTTTAGGCCTTTGAGTTGAGGAAATTCATAGGCACATGAATGACAGAAGTCGGGTTTGAGCCAGATGTTGTGACTCCGTGCCCAGAATTCTCCCTTTATGATGCCAGGTTTTATTGTCTGTGCCTGCATTGTTTCCCTACACCACCAAGTATGCTACCGAGGAATAACATCTGAGATGTTGACCTTTTTGATGTAATAAAGTATGGTCTCTTTCTTCCCAAAGACCCAGATTTTAGCGTGCTCTCCATTTAGGGTGGTGTGACACTGATGTGCAGTTTCGTTGGGTATACCAGAACAGGAGTTGTAGAATCTGACTTGTCAGATGAAATTATGAATTGAGGAGTGCGAGCCTTTGAAGGAAGCAACAGCATATCCTTTTTGTGCTGTTCCCATCCTAAGAAAAGACTTACAATCATTTAGTCCTTTTATATCTAATGGTACATTTTTGGAGGTAACCCAAAGAGGGAGGATAGGACATGATTTGTTGGCCTTTTCCAGGAATGAGTGCAGAGCACAGGTGGACCGGTTTCCTGCTGCCAGATTTAAGAAGTTTGCCACTGAGGATGAGGCCTGGGCCTTTGTCAGGAAGTCTGCGAGCCCAGAGGGCTCAGAAGGTACTCCCCTCTTGTTGTTGCAGAAACGGAAGTGAACTGGATGGAAGACTCGTAGCACCGAGGTACTTGGAAGGCAGCAGCTTTATTATGAAGTGGGCTGGTGGGAACCCAGTTCCAAACCACCATCCCTGACTTGGGGTTAAACAGAAACTTACTATGTTGCAAACAGGAAATACAAAAAGCTGATAGTGGGTTGTTTTGTAATTGGCTACATATGTTTTGCCATACTTTGTCAAGCAAATTCATTTGGGGCAGGTGTAGTTGGGCGAATGGGGTATTTCCTTATAGTAGAAAGGTCAGTACCCTCTTAGGTCAGGGGCTTGGTTGAGTGCATAAAGTCAATCATGTCTTTGACTGAGCTAGTCTGTCCCTTGGGTGTTAAGTCCTTGAAACAAGCTAGCTTAATAGAATATGTGTAAGGCTGGGTAGTGCAACTAGGTTATATTTATCTTACAAGTTGCTGTTGGGATGATGTGTCAAAGCCAACCAAGTCTGACAGTCTAACTGTGAGACCATCTGGGCCTGTAGATCCCGTCCTTAGCATGGTGTCAGCCTATGAGTTTTGAAGTTTCTGCTTATGGTGTCAGTGTGATGTTTTTTAGCTGATCCCCCTTCTCCTATCCTGATGTCCTTGGATCATTTTTGCACTAAAGAATGAATAAAAATTAAAGAATAGCGAGTTGTGGCAGTAACAGTGTTAGAGACACTGACAAGAACTGACAAGGTTTCCTGTCCCATTCAGTGTACTCAGCAGGCCATAGCTTATTTTTCTTTATTTACTTGTTTTTGTTTTTTCTGAGACAGAGTCTTGCTGTGTAACCTGGGCTGGCATGGAACTCCTGGTGATCTTCCTATCTCAGCCTCCTGAGTACTAGAATTACAGGCTTGCACCATCATGCTTGGCCAATTCTTTCTTTCTTTCTTTCTTTTTTTTTAATACTTGTTCTGTTGTTGGAGTAAATAGGTTATGGCTTTAAAGGAGAGAGTGTGTTTCCTTTCACAGTATGCACTCAGATGGTGTTTTGTTTTTATTTGGGACAGCTCACACAATTGGAATTCCTTTCAATGTCATGCAGGCATATGCAAGACTGATACACAGGCTGCGATAAGCAAAGTGATTGTGATACAGGGCACAAGATTTTAACATTGCATGTGGCTGGGGATGTAGGTTCATGTGGAGATTCTCTACATGGACTCTGTGTCATTGTAGCATTTGCAGCTGGGAGCAGGCTAAACCCAGAATGTGGGGTTTTGTTTTTCCTAAGGAAAGTACCCCTTAGGATTTTCAGACTATCTGTGATCTATAAAGGGTATCTTTAGCACTGTCATTGAAACCAGATCTGATTTGATGCTGTTATCCTCCCCTCATCCAAATCAGGCTTATTTTGGAAAATATAGAATGATTTCACGGGATGTCAGAATGAGCTGTGTATTCTGAGCCTGTCCATCTTTGTAGGGCCACATGGAGAATGCTGAGGTTAATGTAATGATAGGAAACAGCATTCTAGAATTTCCAACTCTTTAGTATTTCATGTCATGTGCATTGTATCTGACTCTGGAGCAAACACTGTTTTTCAGGGCAGAAAGACACAGAAGAATCACAGGTGAAAGCCAGTAAGCGGCTCCGGGAGCCTTTGGATGACAGTGAAGACGCAGGCACAGAGCCGAGTGCCAAGCTCTCAAGACAGAGCACAGAGCCTATCCCTCCCATTAGCAAAGACACATTTTCTTACATGGGTACGTCTTGCCTGGAATTAGAAATATGCATATAGCAATCATACTCAGGTGTGGTGGCACACTCCTGTCATCTCAGCACTTGAGGCTGAGGCAGGAGGATTGTCTCAAGTTGAGACCAGTCTTGGCCTCACTTTTTAGACCAAGGCTAGCCTGAACTGCATACTGAGACTCTGTCTGAAGACAAAAAATGGGGAATGGGGTGGCGTGGGGAAGGTTGGGGACATAACTCAGTGTAGAGGCCTAGGGGTGCTAGTAAACCTCACTATAAAAAGGAGAATTGAGCTGGTATCTGTCCTCATTCTTTGTGATAAAGGTTATTTAGAAGTCTTCAAAGTCACTGTAATGACCAAGTGGTGCAAAATTGTTCAATTTTTGGATGTTCTTAAGAGAATCATTTTGCAGAGTACAAATGAAACATCATCACGGTATTTTACAAAAAATATCTGTGTTTCCTCAGCACTCAGGGCTCCAGGGCCCCTATGTAGACTTTAAGCTGCCCGCGGTGGCTGCTCCCTGCCATGCTGCCCCATCGAGCTGTCTCAGAAGGCTCTGCCTCATCCTGGGAATCAAGAGTCATGTGATTTTCCTCCCTTTTAGCACCGGGATGGGTCGCGTGTATTTGATGACTTACACTTTCATTTCCTCCACAGGAGACTCCGTTGTTGTCTACACTGACGGCTGCTGCTCCAGTAACGGGCGGAGAAGGGCCCGGGCAGGAATCGGCGTCTACTGGGGGCCTGGCCACCCTCTGTAAGGGAATGGAGAAAACTGAGGGTTTTTTTTTTTGTCTTTTTCCTTTTTATTGGTACCGGGGATCGAACTCACGACTGCCTGCTTTCAAGGCAGGTGCTTATGCCACTGAGCTAAATCCCTAGCCCAAAAGCTGAGGTTTTAAGCATGGGGTTTTACCAAATCCTATTCCAGAATGTGTGAAAAGATGAGGTGAGGTCATCCTGGAGGGTCGGCCTTGCCGTTATGGCTTGGTGGGAAACCTGGTGGGTAGTGGCGCTGGCTGGCGGGGTAGTTGGAGAGCAGAGCTTCTGTCCATTGGGCGGGTGCCAAGCAGCCTTGTCCTTCGCCATGAGACACCGGCCTGCAACTCTGCTCTCCCAGCCAACTCTTAGGAGTCCCTGTTCACTGACAAGCTTCCCACAGAACGGCCTTGCTGCCTCTAGCTTAGATGTCTTGTGGCACAGGGGACAGGGCCTGGGGATCCCAGGCAGGTGGTCTGGCTCGGAGCTTGTCATGTCACCTGCCTCTGCTGAGGATGCGAGGCCTGGAGGCGGTCAAGGTGATGTGGGGTTTAGTCCTTCAGTTACACCCAGACCCCAGGGGAGAGCTCGAAGGGCAGCTGAGAGCCCTGAAACTCATGCAGGAACGGGACTGACTCCCAAAGGTTGCCCCCACCAGTTGTGGCCTGCAGTTTCCATGGTGTTCAGTGCCTGCAGGAGCCGTGCAGTAGTGGTCTGTAAATGCCACCATCCCCATCTCTTGTGCTTTACAGTTTCTTTTAGTGTTTCATGTAAGCTGCAGACACTGGCAGGAGGGTACCAGTGCTGGGACTCTCACCTGGCCAAGGCCCAGTGGGGTCAGTGCTGGGACTCTCACCTGCCCGAGGCCCAGGCCAGTGCCTGCAGCCTCATGCTGTGTGTGAGGCCTGCCGGGGTGTCTCCCTCTAGGGCCTTAGTACTGTCACTTGGACTTTGAAAGACTGTGTTTCTGTGTGAAGCATTTGTATTTCAAATAACCATAAACTGCTTTGTTGTCTCTATTGATGAGGTTCACTGCAAGGCTTAGTTTCATTATTTTCTTTTCTTTTGTATTATTTTGCAACAGAAATGTAGGCATTAGACTTCCTGGGCGACAGACTAACCAGAGAGCGGAAATCCATGTAAGTTACGTGATCAACATGTGTTCATCCTTTCTCAGATTGACCGTGAGCACTTGGGCTGCTTTTTCCCCATCTCACTGTCTATGTATGGGAGATACTTAAAGTCCTGAAGGAAATTTGAGTTGGTAAAAATTGTGAAATTTTTGTTGGAAAAAATCCAAAGTCGTAAGTGGGCGGCAGCAGGAGCACCGAGTGTTTAATTTTGCAGAGAACATGGTCAGCTCAGAACAGGAAGTGGTGTTTCGGTGGAAAGTCACTACTAGCGTGGGGAATGCCTGCAGCTGAGCTTCCTGTGCAGCCTGACTGTGGACTGTGTTTCTCAAGGCAGCATGCAAAGCCATCGAGCAAGCCAAGGCTCAGGACATCAGCAAGCTGGTGCTGTACACGGACAGCATGTTCACCATCAATGGTGAGCAGTGCTCAGTATCACTTGGGCACAGAGAGTCATGGGGGACTTTTGGTCTGTGGGGACAGAAGGACCAGAAGGGTCTGGGAGCCCTTGAGTGACCTGGGATTGTGGTGTGCTGGGATGGGCTGTGTGCAGTGGCAGCTGCAGGACACTTAGAGGCAGGAGCGGTGGCATTGGAGCTGGGGTGCAGGGAAGGGGTGGGGTGCTGCCGGTGAGGCCAGGAAGGAAGTGAAGTGTGAAGGCTGGGCCCAGCCTCGGCCACCAGGACGAACTGTGATGTGTGTGCAGGAATCACCAGCTGGGTACCGGGTTGGAAGAAGAACGGGTGGAGGACGAGCACGGGCAAAGAAGTGATCAACAAGGAGGACTTCGAGCGGCTGGAGCAGCTCGCGGAGGGCATGGACATCCAGTGGGTGAGTGGCTGTGGTGGTAGCCAGGATTTCGGGTTCACATGCCAGGGTCAGGGACACAGTACTGTCTGATGTGCAGCAAATATGTTTGATTAGTTCTCTTGGTCATGGATAGTACTGGGATTTTCCCCGTATTTTTTGTTAACTTACTTTGTGGAATTGGCGATTGGACCCAGGGACAGTCACTGAACTACAGCCCCAGCCCCCCCCCCCCTTTTTTTTTTTGTTTATTTTTTGTTTAGACTGGGTCACACTGTGTAGTGTAGGGTGTTCTTAAACTCACTATGTAGCCCAGGTTGGCCTCGAACTCATGACAGCCCTCTTGTCTCACCTCCCAAGTAGCTGACCCAGGCAGCACAGCTGTTCTATTCAGTGGCATTTAAAGAGAATAAGAGGTGGAGGAAAGAGATGCCTATCTGTCCGCCCACCCACTGGCCTGGTGGCTGCTCATTGGGGAGCAGGACTGAAGGGGCAGTGGCCAAGTGCTGGGGTGTTGGGACATCTTGGCACGGTGTACCCCATGCCTGCTGTGTGGTCTCTCTTGTGCTCAGCCTGTGGGGGGGCACAGACATGCGGCCACGCGCTGCCTTTGTACAGGTCAGGCTGATAACCTAGAGCGTTTGTCTGGCAGATGCACATTCCAGGCCATTCGGGATTCACGGGCAATGAGGAGGCAGACCGGCTGGCCAGAGAAGGCGCCAGGCAGCCTGAAGATGGAGCAGAGTCCCTGAGGACCCACAACTCCTGAGCCTCCATTCTCCAGTGTGCACTGCAGCTCTGCTGACGGCTGCAGTGGACAGGTGGACACAGCTTCCCCCCAACCCTGAGATCAGCTCCACTGTGGTGTCCCGTGACATGGCAGGACACGCTTACAGAAAGCAGCAAACACGCTGGAGACCTGCAGATTCTGTGAACTGTCAGCTCTGTACTTATTAGGCTCGATACGGCAGTAAAACACTGCAGTCTGGTCTAGAATGCTTGGGCTTTGATTTAAATAAGGACTCACTAAAGATAAAACACTGGAGTTGTACATGCTGGCACACATTTAGTCCCATCTGGGACACCAAGGCAAGAGGATTACAAGTTTCAGCTCAGCCTGGACAACTTAGCAAGACCCTGTCTCCAAAAATAATAATAATAATAATGTGTAGGGCTGGGGATTTAGCTCAACGGCATAAGCGCCTGCCTTGCAAGCGTGTGGTCGTAAGTTTGATCCCTGGTTACCAGTAAAAAAAAGAAAAAAAAGTGTGAATAAGAAATAAAGCCAGATGTGGTGACTCATGCCTATAATCCCAGCACTCGGGAGGCAGAGACAGGAGGATTGATGCGAGTTCGAGACCAGCCTAGGCTACAAAGTGAGCTCAAGGCCAGCCTGAACTGCACAGCCAGACCCTGTCTCAAAAACAAAAAAAAAAAAAAAAGGAAAAAGTCGGGGAAGTAGCTGTGTGCAAAGGCTCTGGGTTTAAACCCCAGAGCTGAACCTTCAGTTGATGAGCATGCGAGTGCGAGTGTGAGTTTGTGCTGTGTGCTCTAGGTGTGTCTCCCTCAGATCCTGTTATGATGATGGCACATTACTCATCAGATGTGGAACAAAATCTCTAGTACTGCTGGGAGTTGGGGCACACACAGTGTAATTCCTGAGTGAGTTTGAGGCCAGCCTGAACAGTGTTGTGAGGCCCTGGCTCAAAGAAAAGCAAAAGAAATACTGAAAAGCCAGGCAGATCTGCAAGCACTGGAAGTGTCTCTGCCCTTCCCACTGCAGCAGCCTAGGCTGTAGGGCAGCAGGAGGTGAGGGCTGCGGGGCATCCTGGTGCTGATGTGGGTGGTGACAACTGTTAAAGACCAAGGACATCAGCAGTCCATCCAGATTTTCTTTGGCTTTTTCTCAATGTGTACACTTAAAACCAGTGTTGGATGTCATGTATTTTTAATGTTTTTGCATAAAATAAAAGCCAGGAGGGGCTGGGGATTTAGCTCAGCAGCTTAAGTGCCTGCCTGGTAAGCATGGTGAGTTCTATCTCCCGTACCAAAAAAACAAAGCCATGAGGAGGTAGCAGGTGCAGCTCACGTGGTGGGGAGTGACCTCCCACTTCGCGTCAGGATTGCCCAGCGCTGGACAGCGGGGCCCAGACTGCAGCAGGAAGCACTTCCAGGGCTCCCGGGTAGTTGCTCTGTTTGCTTTTCCCTTGCTGGCCAGGTGTGTTTCCGTCTCCCTGGTCCTCGCACAGCGTGTGCTCTGGAGGCTTTCAGGGTCTTCCAGAATCTGCGCTTGACTGCCTGTTTTTACACAACGTGGTCAGTGAACTGGGACCAGAGTATCACGTGCCATGCCCCAAGTTCTGTGCAAACCTATTCTGCTCAAGGTGAATGTATTCCGGGGTCAGCCAGGCACCTGTCCGGTTTACAGGCAGGGAATGAGCCGGTAGGGCCGGGGAGGCACCACAGAGAGCGCTGGAGGGCCTCTGACTGCAGGCAGGCCTGGCTGTTCCTACCTCTAAAGCACCTGTGCTGGCCTGGCCATGTGGTGAGGTGACTTCCTGTTGTCCCAGAACGCTGGGCTGAAGTAAGAGGATCGCAGGCAACACAACGCGGGCTCCAGCTGGGCTGATCCCGCAGGGACCGCGCTCAAGTGGCAGGCGGCACAGGGGGGAGGGGAGGGCCTAGATGCAGCTCCCGGCTGTAGGAAGCTGAGGGGTAGCGAATTCCTACTGTCCACTGTGAGGGGCGGGGGCCGGCTCTCCCAGGAAGCCCTGCCCTTAAGGGGAGGGGCTAGCTCCCCCTGTCCTCCATCGTTTGTCCCCGCCTCCTACTCTGCTACTCGCGGGCCCAGCTCAACTTTTCCAGGCAGAACCTGGCCGTCACCATGGTGCAGGCCTGGTATATGGACGAGTCTGCATGCGACCCGCGGCTGCCGCATCGCTTCGAGCCCGACCGCCCGGTGAGCCTGAAGCAGCTGCGCGCCCTCGGCGTGCTCTATTGGAAGGTGAGCGCGGCTGCACTGCGGGCGGACCACTCCCGCGCCTAGCGGCGCCGCATGCTCCGCACGGGACTGGTGGGGCCACTCTGCGCATGCCTTGGCCTGTTGGGCGCAGAAGAGGCTTTGAAAGAGGCGTCAGGGTTTTGGAGACTCCAGGTGCTGTGCTGCGTTCCCGGGTCAGAATGAAATGCGGGCATGGCCCATCCTAGCCTCAGCCCTTCTGTCAGTACTAGGCAGTAGACTGAACCACACCCAGACTCATTTAATTTTGGGGCTGGGCCTCTGTAACTTACTAAAGTGCCCACCCGGAGCGCCAGTTTGCAGTCCTCCTGCCTCAGCCTCCCGAGTGTTGTCATTATAGGCGTGCGTCAGCACACCAGGCAGGGATCTGCGTTTGGACTCTGACAAGTGACACTGTAATTACATGCCTGTATTGCCATACTTGGCTCCCAGCCGAGCTTTCAGTGCATCCCCGACGCACTTGTGTCTTGTGTCTTTCGTGACTGTGCGGCCAGAGTGACCTGTGCTCCTCAGACCGCTTCGCCCGTTGTAGGGTCCTCAGGGTGCTGGGCAACACCTTTCCCCTACAGCCAGGAGTGGAGGTGGTGCTCAGGAAGGGACAGAAGGGTAAAGGTTGTGGACATAGTGAGGGCATTAGTGTGAATCAAAAGTGCACTATTTGTTTCTCTGATATTAAGAGATCATCCAGCAGTGGCGTCAGTCTTTACCTGCACCAGTGTCTTCAAGAGTTTTACCTACTCAGTTTTCCGGCAGATTTCATGTTTCTGTGTTAATATTAGGATCTTTGATGCGTTCTGATTTTAGCTTAGTACATGGTGAAAGATATGGGTCCAGTTTTAATCTTCATCATGTGTAGAGCCAGTTTCTCCAGCACCATTTATTAAAGAGACTTTCTTCCAGTGAATGTGTTTGGCACCTTTGTCAAAGATAAGGGGCTTGGTGTGCCTAGGGTTGTTTCTGCATCTTTTAACCTGTTCCATTGATCTTCAGCTGGGGCCTCTACAGTTAGAGACACAGCTGGGGATCAAACTCGGAGCCTCCTGGAAGTCAGACAAGCGCTGTACCCTGAAATCTGTCCACAGCCCTGGTGATCAGTGCATATTTTTATGCTTTCCTATCTCTTGTGCATTAGTGGTGTCAAGAGACAAAAATGACATAAAGTAAAAATGGGCTTTTACAGGGTTGGGTTGGTGAGTCTGAGGAGTCTCTGTGTTATAAAACATAGGCAGGCTTTTCTCTCTCTCTCTGAGTTCAGTGTCACGTGTTTAAGCAACTGCTGATGGAAAATACTGAAAAATCACACCTGTCCTGAACATGTCCAGCCGTCCTTCCCTGAAGAGCGCATCTCAGCCCCTCACTGGATGCACTAGGTGTTATGAAATTGTCTAAGATGGTTGCAGGTGGACAAGGGCTCTGTGAATGTTGTAAACAAACTTGCACGGGCATCCTAGATCAGTCCCTCAAGTTATGGAAGCTCCCCCAGGTGCAGTGAAGAGTGGGCTTTGTGAGGGGGGAATAGGACAATATGGAAATTGGATATCCGGCTGATGGCTTAGGCTCAGTGTACTTCAGGCTGTTTTTTTTTGTCAGCATTGGTGCAGAAGGCATAGCTGGCTCAGGTAGACCAGACTTTCCTGTTTTTTAGGCCAAACTAATGTTTTGGGATCTATCTGCTGCTCAGGTTTCATTTGGATTCCACAGAACTTAGGGCAAGAATTCTGTATTGTTTCAGGTCAGGAGCTCAGTCCCAAACACAGTCTCCTGTCATTGGGTTTAACGCCAGGAACAGATGAGGAGTGTTTTTGCTTTCTTTCCTTTTTTCCCCTTTCTTCTTTTCCCCTCTCTCCCTTTTCCCCATCCCCCTCTCCCCTTTTCTTTCTCCTTCTGTTCTCTGAGCCAGGGTCTCTCTATGTAGTTTAGGCTGGCCTTAAATTGCCTGTGTAGCCCAGGCAGGCCTCCAAGTGGCTGACCTCCCTGCCCCGCTCTGGAATATTGATTTCTTTCACAATAGGTGGGGAGGGGAAGCTGGATGTGGAAAAGTCACCTGGGTCCAGAGGACAAATGTGCTCCTGTCCCAGCGTGGTGGACTAGAGCGTTTGTATGGTCTGGGAGGGTCTCTGATGTCCTGGCCACTGGGTTTCCCTGGGCCATGTTTTAGGGTGTCAGTGAGACTCATCTTCCTGTGGGAGGTGGCAGAGAAATGGGATGCAGGAGGGAGCAGTGTCGTTGGCCACACAGGTGACACCAGACGGAGTAGGAAGCTGTAGGGAGGACAGATCTCCACATCCCTTGGTGGATGCTGGGAAAATGGAAGAATATGAGATGGAAGTAAGGAGAGAATGATCAGGAGGGCAGGGTCAGAACCAGCAAAGGAACAAGTGAAGCCAAGTGTGGTGGCACACGCACGCCTGCCACCCCAGCACTGGCAGGCCGAAGCAGGATGATTATAAACTCAAGCCCAGCTTGGACAATGTATGAACTTAGCAAGACTTTAGTCTTAAAGAGTAAACAACCAGGACTGGGATTGTAGCGCAGGGAGAAGGTCCTAGGTTCAGCTTAGTATTGCAAGAAAACAAACAAAGAAAAATTTGAGTGGAGTGAGCGGTGCGTTAGGAGACAATCACCCTGGAGGTCCAGAGAGATGGGTTTGCGTCTGGTGTTAACGAGGCTCCTCTGTCCCCTGTTCACGTAGCTGGACCCCGACAAGTATGAGACGGACCCGGAGCTGGCGCAGATCCGCAGGGACAGGAATTACTCCTGGATGGACATCATCACCATCTGCAAGGACAGCCTGCCCAACTTCGAGGAGAAGGTAAGGCCAGGCCAGAGGAGGGGCCCCTCTGTCCCCGTGTGCTGGGAGGAGCAGGATGTTGGTCCCCTCCCAGGCCTTTGGCAGGATGGCAGTGTCGTCCCATGTTTGGCTGCCTCACTGGCGACACCCCTGGGTGCAGTGCAAGGCTTGTTTTGTTTTTTGACTTTTGCTTGGGGTACTAGGGATTGAATCTGAGTTACATCCTCAGCCCTTTCATGGAGGAGCGTGGTTCAGGTGTATGTCCATGTCATAGAGCCCTTCACTCACTGTTGTCAGGTCATTCAGAACATGACCTCCTGTTTTTGGACACCTGTAGGTGGCAGTGTTGTCCCCTCCTGTGCCAACCTGGTGCCCCACATCCTCTCCTTTGCTGGCCTTGGCTGGCAGCTCACCAATTGCGTTGATCCTCACAGAGAACCTTTCATCTTTCTTATTGTTCTGGTTGTTTGAGACGTGGTTTCATTGTGTAGCCCAGGCTGCCCTAGAACTTGTGATCCTCCTGCCTCAGCCTCCCAAGTGCTGGGATGACAGGCATGTGACATCACACTTGGCCGTTTTGAATTATTTCTTGATTCCAAGTGAAAGTTTTTCCTCCTGATCTTGTGTTACTTCTACTTATCACAGAAACAGGTCCTGAAGTCAAAATTATGCAGAAAGGTGCCCTCGCCCCTGTGCTGTCCCCCTTGCCTCGCCTGCCAACTTTGTTGTAGTCTGGCAACTGTGACAGTGTTCACACAGCCGAGAGGTTTGTGGCCTGCCAGGGCCCGTGAGCCACTGCAGTGCCATGACACACAGGACCTCCGTGTCACCTGGCTGCATTGCTCTGTTGGTCCTGTGGGGTTGGACACAGCACGGAAATGTGCCAAAAGTTGGGACCTGTCCCCCACACTGGCCACGCCCACACTGACCACGCCTCCATGGTGGCAACGCTTGCAGAGGTGTTTGCAAGCTCCAGGTCATCCTATGGTGAAACGAGACGCCCGCAAAGGGGTTAGTGTCCTTTGTCCTCCTACAAGGCCCGTTTTCTAGACATTTCAGTTTCTCCAGAGGTGGAATGCTTTTTCTTTGCCCTGCAATGCTGGGAATAGATCTCAGGGCCTTTGCGTTGAGCTCCATCCTCAGCCCTTATTTTATATTTATTTATTTTGGGAGCTGGTACTCAGAACCTTGTGCTTGCCAGGCCAGCTCTTGTGCCACTGAGCTTTACTCCCGTCCCTTTTGTTTTATTTTTTGAGACAGGGTCTCACTAAATCACTTAAGTTGCTCAGACTGGGCTTGGACTCCCCATCCTCCCGCCTTAGCCTGCCAGGGTGCTGGGATGCTGGTGTGTGCACTTTAGGAAGCTCCGGAACCCCAGTGCAGCTGTGAAGGCCAGGCCTGAGGCCAGCATCAGTGACTGGTGTAGGCATCACCACAAAAATCTTTTGGTCTCCAGGCATGGGCGCTGTGTGGCTCCTGTCACTGCCTGCCCCACGGCCCCACAGACCTTGTGATCTTGCCTACTTCACCAGGACCCATGTTCCCCCAGATCCGGATATTCTACACGGAGCACCTGCACCTGGATGAGGAGATCCGCTACATCCTGGATGGCAGCGGGTACTTCGATGTCCGGGACAAGACAGACAAGTGGATCCGGATCTGCATGGAGAAGGGCGACATGATCACCCTCCCAGCCGGCATCTACCACCGTTTCACGCTGGATGAGAAGGTAGTGCTGACTGCCATGGCCTCGCGTGCTGGTGCTGGCCGTGCTGCCCCAGAGAGGTGACCACAGCAAGGCCACGTGAGCCCTGCAGCTGCTGCTCCCAAGTGGCCACCAGCCCCAGGGGTCAGAGTGAGGGACCCAAGTGTATTGTGGCTCCAGCCACCATTGTTGCTTGGCTCCCTGGTCCTAGCCTGCAGGCCAGGTCAGCCTGCCTCTCCCCCATGGGTGTGAGGCACTATAGGTGGCCACCCATTCCTGTTGGACCCTCACAGTAGAATATAGTAATGAGAATTGGCATGCTCTTGACATGATTTGGGTAGATACAAGATTTATGTATATAATTTTTTGGCTTTGGTTTTTGAGACAGGCTCTCATTTTGTAGTTCAGTAGGCTTTAAACTATGTAACCCGGGCTGGCCTTGAAATTGTAGGAGTCTTCCTGCCTCAGCCTCCCAAGTGTTGGGAACATAGATGTATGCCACCATGCCTGGTCTCAATGCTAATTCTCAGGAGAGCTGGACTCCAAGGACAGAGAAAATGGTGGGGCACCTGTGAGGCTGAGGTGGGGCTCATGTATCTGTTGAACCTGTCCTATACTGGAGACAGACACATGGGCTGCAGCCACTAGCCAGGCCACCTACATCATAGTCCCCTTAGCTCAAGTGCAGCCTCAGGGGCCTTCTGACTGCCACGTGTAGGGAAGTGGCATTGGTGCTGAGACCGGTTTCTACTTCCTAGAACTACGTGAAGGCCATGCGTCTGTTTGTGGGCGAGCCCGTGTGGACAGCATACAACCGGCCGGCTGAGCACTTCCCCGCCCGGAAGCAGTACATGAAGTTCCTGGAGCAAACTGTGTAGCTGCCTGGAGTCCATTGCTGCGGCCTGAGACTGGCTTGTTCTTCTGTGTGATTGTTTGATCAGAATATTTTTAAAGAAAATTGTACAATTGATTTTTACTCTGAAGCAACTAGAAATGCAAATATCACTGTAATCGCTCTTAATTAACCAAGATAGGGGTACAGGAGCACCCAGTAGTACGAACCCTGCAGTATAACAAGCTTTTGCCCTGAGGGTGGCTTGTCAACGCTGTGCCAGGTGCAGTGTAGCTGCCTGAGGATGGTGGGACCAATCAGGTGGTGCTGCAGCTCCGGGCTGTAGCTGGTGCAGAGAGGGTGTCTGCAGGCTTCTCCTGCCCATCACAATAAAGTCCTTGCCTTAACTCTGCTCAGGGCCTGGAGCTGCCTTGTGCTTTGGTGGGTGCAGCATTAACACTACCGCCTGCACACTTCGTGTGCTCCTTCATGTTCAGCTAGTTACTGAATGACCTGTGTTGTGCAGGGTGTGATTTCTGGGTTCTTTCACAGCTGAGTTGTAAGACAGAAGTGCACTGCTTTTCCCCTGGGACTGGGCTAGGGAGCTGGGTGCTTGTCTGGTTTGTGGGAGACTCGGGTCTGACACACCTCTCACAGACACAAATACAGAGATACAGTTATGCCTAGTTTGCTAGAATCACAGGAAAGCTTGCCGTCCACCAGGCTCAGCAGTAACACACCTGCAATCCCAGCACTTGGAAACCAAGACAGGCATCTCAGTTCACAGGAAGGCTGCGTTCATAGCAAGATCTTGGCTTAAAACCAAAAAAACCCAGTCAACTTCATGTTTTAGAGAAGCTTGTAGTTTTCTCTTTTTTTCATTTTTTTGAGACAGTGTCTATGCAGTTCAGGCTGGCCTTGAACTCACTTTGTAGCTCAGGCTGTTCTCGAACTTGCAACGATCCTCCTGCCTCAGCCTCCCAAGTCCTGGGATTACAGGCATGAGCCACCATGCCCAACTTTAGAGAAGTTTATAGTTTTCTAAGTGTTTTTTTAAAAACTGGACAAAAAATCCTCCTGTTAAAAGTTATATCAAAACTGGTCCTGGTCGCACAAGGCTTGTAAAACCAGCACTCTGGGAGGCTGAGGCAGATAAGTCACATGTTCTAGCCTAGCCTGGTCAACTTGGTGGGACCTTGTCTCCCAAGAGCTGGAGCTGTAGGTCTGAGGAAAGACCCTGCGTTCACTCCGTAGTCCTGGGTGATTGGAGAGACCCCATCATTGATCACTCTGTCCTTGGGGCAGAGCTCATGCCTAAGGCCCTGAGTTTGATCCCTAGCACTGCAAAAAATGTTAGGGAAAAAAAAAGGAGTACATTGAGTACTGCCATTGAAATAGAGCCTCAGCATATGACAGTGTTGAGAGCTGGGTCATAAAGCTCACCCATGGCCTGACTCCCTCCCATGGTGTCCAGCAGATCCCTTCAGGGGCTCGTACACATGGGCTGGGCTGGCTATCACCTCCCACCTCAGCCTTCACCGCTGCTGCTGCTCACAGCCTCCCTCCCACCCACTACCCCCTGGTGTAGCAGGTTCAGGAAAGTGCCAGCGGTGGGTCCACCAAGCCAGGTGTGGCTGTGACAGGGCAGTCACACCCAGTTCCCAGAAAGCGGGAACCTCGTGCCTGCCAGCTCTCCAAGTGGGCCCAGCCCCCTGCCAGCTCTGGACGTGCCAGGTGGTGTTGCTGCGAGCTGTGAATCATTAGAAGGAAGACAGCCGGCCAGTGACGCACAGGAGGAGGCTTAGCCATACAGACTTCCGGTCCTTTTCCAGTCCTTCCTGGTACGCAGCAGAACCCAGACGTCTGGAGGAAGTCGGGGAGGAGGAGGAGGTGGGTGGATTAGTGGGTGGGTCGGCAGGTGAGTCTGAGGGGAGTGAGGATGAGCGATGAACATGACTGTCAGATTCAGAATGTTAATGCCTCGATGCTCTGGAAGTCATCTTTCTGAAAGGTGTTTTCTTCTGATGGTGTGTCACGTACCAAGCTGCAGGAACCTACAATCGTTTTATGATTTACACAGTGAAAACTAAATGACAAAAAGAAAACCCCGCACACTGACTGTGAGGGGGAAGCTGGAAGGAGCGTGCACAGGCACACACACACGAGGAAAAGATGCTCTGGCACCAAAGGAATGGACTTTATTGGTCCCAGCAGCCCAGACGCAGACCTGGCTAGGCCAGCTTGAGGCACTGCGTGTTGAAGCTGTCACCCTCCTTGCTGGCCACGGCCTCGAGCAGGGCCTGCTTCTTCTGCATGCTGCGCGAGGACTCCAACTCGTACATGGTGGTGAGGTTGAAGAGCACGCTCTCGTGCAGGGCGCACCTCGGGTCCTGCCGCACCATGGCCTCCAGCTGTCGCAGCGAGTCCTTGAGCTTGCCCAGGTAGAGCAGGCACACAGCAGCATTGTTGTTGGCCTGCGGGAGGGAGAGGGGGCTGCTGGACTGGGCACCCACTTGGGTGGGCACCCACTCACCCTGGGATGCCCTGGGCCAGCCTGGTATCCTTTTCTGGTTTTTTTGAGACAAGGTCTCACTACAAGGTCTCACTCGGAGATCGATTTGTAGCTGGGTCTCTTACCACTGCATTGGTGGGGTCCAGCCTCAGGATCTCCGTGAAGAACCGGTTGGCTTCCGAAAAGTTGTTCTGGCCAAGGTGCAGGAAGGCCCTGGAACACGGGAGACAGCAGGCAGTGAGCCGGGCGGCCGGACACCCCAACCCAGTGTCACCATCACATGTGGACCCAAGAACCAGTGAGGTGTCTCCACTTCTGTGCTGAACACAGAGCCACGTGGGCAGATGCAGAGGACAGGGCCTGTTGTGGTTTTTGTCTGGATGTCCCCCCAAAACTGCATGCAGTCATGGAGGCCACTGAATCTAGAGTCTGTGCCAGATCCATTGTCTAGTGCTGGGATTCTGGGTCTAAGTGCTGCTCTCACTGCAGGGCAGGAGCCTGCATACAAAATAAGGGACAGCGTTCTCTCTTGCTCCTCCCTATTGCTCTTGTTGCTTTTGCTGTCTTCTGTCAGCGAACTGTTGCCCCTCTGCCATGAGTCACCCTGCCTTGGACCCAGCTGATTATGGACTGAAACCTCCATAAACCGTGAGCTAAATAAACCTTTCATTTCTTAAATTTGCGTGTTGGGTATTTTGTCTCAGCAACAAGAGAAAAGTAACCAACAAGGGCCTTAACGCTTCGGTTCTGGGGGACTCATGTGCCTCTGGGGACACACTCCATTCAGCTGGCAGGGTACTGGAAAGAACTGGGTCCACTGTTCGTAAGTACCTGTTCATCAGAATCATGATTTTACCCTGCAGCCCATCCAGTTTCTGTGTGACTTTCTCAACATCTTGGAAATACTTCTCGGCTGTTTTTATGTCTCCAATCTGCTCAGAGGGACAGAATGATCCAGTCAGGATAGCAGACAGATGGAAAGAGCTATTAAATATGCCCCTGGCCCTGCTCCCACAGCCAGGCCAGGCAGGGTCCCACAGTGGCCGTTTGTGATCATCCTGCTAAGATAGCAGGAGGGTGTCGCCTTTCTGTCGGAACTCCAGCACTTACTAGGCACAGCTGCTCTAAGGTCTTACAGCTAGGGATCCGTCCTCTGAGGTGGATCCTGGCACAGAATTAAGTGAAAATACAGTGAGCTTCGGACATGGTGATGCACGTCTGTCATCCCAGTACTTGCGAGGCTGAGGCAGTCTTTTTTTGTTTCCTTTTTTCTTTCTTTCCTTCCTTTCTTTCAACAGGGTCTCACTATGCAATTCAGAAAATTCACTACATAGCCTATGCTGGCCTTGAACTTACAGCAATCTTCCTTCCTCAGCCTCCTCAATGCTGGGTTGACAGGCGTGTGCCACCACACCCAGCACCACCTTCTTTCTTTCTTTCTTTTTTTGTTTTTTTGTCTTTTTCATTATTATCGGTACCAGGGATCGAACTCATGACCGCCTGCTTGCAAGGTAGGTGCTTATGCCACTGAGCTAAATCCCCAGCCCCACCTTCTTTCTTTCTGAGGAATTAAACCAAGGGTTCTTAGCACTGAGCTACATCCTTGGCCCATTGTACCCTTTTTTTTTTTGGACACGGTTTTGCTAAGTTGCCCAGGGTGGGCTCCAACTTCCCCTCCTCCTGCCCCAGGCTCCTACAGTGCTGGGGTCACAGTTGTGCTCCCCGCACCTGGCAGAATCATTCTCTTAGTCAAGGCTCTTCTAACCATTTCCAAAGCGCTTGGCTTGGGTGCGTCTCGGTTCTTGGCTGAGCATCGGCTTCCACGTGGTGTCCACAACAGAAGCTCGCGGTCAAGTGGACCCAGCAGCAGCCCACACGTCGAGGACACAGTGTGTGTCCGACCCATGGGCCCTCGCTCTCCGGAACCCCCAGCCCGGAGCCAGGGCGACCCTGTACCTGTAGGAGGATGCGGCCAATGCCGCTCAGCAGCTGTGGCTCCTGGTCGGGATAGTACTGAATGACGGCGCGGTAGGCGTCCACGGCCAGCACGTATTCCTGCACGACAGTGACACCACGCGGCTGCACAGGGCATTTGGCCTCTGGGGCGGATGGGAGGGCAGGGCAGGGCCTGGCCTGCTGACCACGGGGTGTGGGCTCAGCACTCGTCACCGGGTGTGTGTGTGTGTCTGTGTCGGGAGCCCGCAGTGGGTTGGGGAATCGGGGGTACCATCCAGCTGCTGTGAAGCCTAAGGGGGGAGGTTGACAGGCGCAACAGGCTGTGGGGTGTGGTTTCCTGGGTGAGTATAGCTCACAGGGAATGGTGTGGGATCCTGGGGGCTGGGACAGATGACTGACTTTCTCATTAAAAAGCGACATGGATACTGACTTCGCTGTAAAAAAGATGCTGTCCTAAAGTTGGGCGTGGTGGCGCACACTTGTAATCCCAGCACTCGGGAGGCTGACGCAGAAGGACCAAGTTGGAGACCAGCCTGGGCTACACAGTGAGCTCAAGGCCAGCCTGAACTACATAGTGAAAGTCTGTCTCAAAAAGAAAAAAAAAAAAAAAAAAAAAAAAGAGAATTATTAAATAAGCCATTGTTAGCCAAGCACCTAATTAAATGACCTCTACGGTTACAGTACCGCGAGAGCTCACTAGAGGGCAGAAGCGCGCGAATGCTGGGATTCCTTCTCCGGAGACATTTTTCACTCCAGTCACTGAGAATGCAGCGCCAGGCACAGTGAAACCATCTCCGAAATACAACCACACGCTCTGTTCTGAGTCCCAACAACAGGGAAGGACTGGAGGTTTGATGCCCGGGATTACCACTGCTGCTGTACAACCATGAAGAGCGGGTTGTTTGCAGCTTTGCACAGATGCATGTTAAAGATGCAAGCTATAGCCAGCAGTGAGGTCTTGCTCGGACAACTGAATGCAGAAGTCTTGTGCTCCGGGTGAATGATTTGGGGACAACAATGCCCAGTGTATGGTCCACTACTGTGCCCTGATGGATGTGTTTTGAAATTTGGTTTTACTTTTTTTCCCCCTCTCTCTCTTTGAAATAAAATGCATTAAAAAAAAAAAAAAAAAAAAGGAGCCAGCATCAGGGGGGCAGCTCTGAGGCCTCTGATGGTTTTGGCCTTGATCCAAGTGACACCGTAGGATCTATCATTTATCTTTTATTTCTGCCTAAGGGTTCTGGTTACCAGAAGCCAGCGAGCTGAGGTGGCTCAGCCTGGGGGGGGGGGGTCAGGGGACTGGTGGGGTGCTCTGGGGTGTGGCCAGAGGATAAGGAGGGAACCCTGGGAGAGAGAGGATGAGGAGCAAGCAGCCATTGGGCAACAGCACTGTCGTCTCGGGTGACAGCTAAGATGCAGAGGGGGACAAACAACCCTGAAAGAACAGTGGGCAGAAGAATGTCAAGACTGGGAATTTCTGATTTCCTCTTTTGGGTGTGTGTCAAGGTCATGGTCTGCCACCAAGGTCACACACCATGCAGATAAGGACGCGGGCTGCGGGCGACTGCAGCCGTGAGCTGCTGCTGCTCAGACCTGCACCTCTGTAGGGCTGCAAGGGACAGTGCTTTCCGTGACTGCACAGCAGTGACCTTGAGTAGCTCAGAATGACCTTGGGCAGCTCTCAGGAGCTGTAAGGCGAGCCAGAAGGAGCTGTGTTCAGCTGGAATACCCTGCAGTGTGGCCCTGCTGCTGTGGAATTTCTGCAGGGCCCTCAGTGCCTGCAGCTAGCAGCTGGTACCCCTGCCTAGGGGAGGCATGCAGAAGAGAGAGGGGCCTGAGCCCCAAGCCCTGGCACCTGGGCTGGTGGTCTGCTGGTGCAGGCATAAAATCACAGGAGATGAGGAAAGAACAGCCTGGAAACAAAGGGCACCACTCTGGGGTGGAATTCAGAGGCAAGCAAGGGGGAGCGGGTGGTTCCGATTGAGTCTTTTAGTTGCACACTTGCACAGTGAGACTCCTTGAAGTGAACCCTGCTTGCTGTTTAAACCCCGAGCAGCTGCAGGGCCACTGGGCTCTGCTAGGCTCGGCCCACCCGGCCCACCGGGAGCCACCACACCCTGCACCTACCTTCATGAGGAGCAGGCAGTTGGCCGTGGAGTACAGCACCCGGCCCAGGCGCGCCCGCCACAGCTGCATGGAGGCTGTGGGGCAGAGGGTGCGGGTGTGAGTCAGGGTCCCCCTGCTGACAGCCAGCAGTTCAGGAAGTGAATCTGCAGGAGGACCCCGGAAGGACCAAGGGTGGCAGGGGAGGTAGCTCAGCCTCAGTCAGAGGCCTGGAATCAGCCTGGACTGTAGGTCTGGGAACCCCAGATGGAAAGAGGCATGTGGCATCCTGGGGCTTGCTGAGGCCCCCACCGCCTGGCTCAAGTGCAGGGCAAATACTCTCTCCAGGACAGCCCTGGGGGTCAGAACCCAGGGAAGACTCTGTAAGGGCATGGCTCCCTCATCCGTCTACCAGGTGATGTACCAGGGTTCCCTAAAGGGTAAAGTGCTTCCCTGGAGCCACTGCACAGGCAGCTGAGAGCTCTGCTCTCTCCTGGGATGCCCAGCTACCGGCTGTGGTCCACCAATGCCCAGCCTTCCAGGTTCACCTCTTCCATGGGGTGTGGAAGGTTCCCTGGCAGCTTCTGGATGAGGGCAGTTGACTACTGCTGAACCCATCAGGGTAGGTCTGGGATGGGGACTTAGTTGGTTTCAAGGTTTTCACTTTGTAGAAAACAAGACTGTGACCCAGAGAGGTGGAGGTGTCACCTAACCCTGGTGACTCTTTGTCCTGGATCATGTCTACTCCTTTAAGAGGGACCTGGGCATAAGCCAGACTTGTCATCCAACCTGCTATCCCAGTAGTGAGAGGCTGAGGCAGGAGGATTGCCATGAATTTGAAGCCAGCCTGGGCTCCACACAGAGTTCAAGGCCAGGCCAGCATGAAATTCTCAGTGAGACCCTGCCTCAAAACAATTCAAGATGAAAGAACAGAGGGACCTGATCAGGACCCAGACCAAGATGGGAGGTGGTGGCAAGAGGCAGCCCCACTGCCAGCTCAGCTTTGGGTCTCGGAGATGCTCGGCCTGGGTGAGGCCCTTGCTGCACTGTGGTCATCAGAGATCACTAAGGGGTTGGGGACACAGAACCTCCTGGGTTCACACCACACCAGAAACACAGTGCACCCCCACCCCCACCCCCCCACGCTCGCTTCCATGCCAGGGAGTCTCATGGGCTCCTTAGGCCCCAAAGTGAGGACCCTACAGCCTTGTCCCAGGAGCCTTTCCCACCCAGCATCATGCTGACCTGACTCTCATCTGTACCAGTATAAATCTCGGCCCTGGGATTTACCCGAGATCACTGGAGGTGGGAGGAGGCACTGCTGGCCATAGGCCTGGGGAAGGTGCCCGAGGGGTGAGCATATACCCCACCTGGCTCGGAGCCTGGAGCCAGCTGCAGCCAGGGAGTCCATCCACAAAGCTCCCACCTGTGGAACTTCATCCCCAAGGGCTTATGCTGATAGTACTTGTAGGAGGGGCCTCTGGAAGCAGAGGAGTCCTGAGGTCACCCCATAGTGGCATTAATGGCTTTATAGGAGAGGGAGAGGTTACCTGTAAGACTTCCAGGTCAGCAGGCTACAAGCCAGCCTCACCAGAGGACAGCACTGTGGCCAGAATCCCTGCTGTGTCTGAACTTTTGTGCTTTACAAGTCCCTGGTTCAGGCATTTTGTTACAATGGAAGAGAACGGGTGCACACACACGTTTGTCTGTGCAACCCGCTGCTGCTGCAGCCTGTGGCCACTTCCTTTTCTACCACCTATGTCTCCCTGCAACCCCCAACTGGCTCCCCCTACCTATGACCACTGGGAAAGGGACACAGGCTTCCTGCAGTGTGGCCCTCAGGCAGGCCTACTGGGGAAGAAAGCTGTGGGCCACCAGGAAAGTGGACAGTGCCCTGCAGGGCAACGAGCCAGAGGTTGAGAGGGGACAAGACATAGGAACTGGCTTACCTTGCCTGCTCTCCAGGGTCACACTGCTCAGGCCCCCATCTTCGGCCAGGCCCTGTTCTAGGTTCACCAGAATCTGCGGTCACCACAGACACAATGACATCTGTGAGAAATGTGCTTGTGTCCAGCCTTCTTCCTGATACTTCCTAGGAACCTCAAGCTTTTCTGGGTGAAGACCAGGCTGCCAGAGAGCGTCCACCTGGACACATCTTCAGTGCTGTGATGACTCCAACCTGAGCTCACAGTGCGTGGACAACGGGAGCTTGGGCTTACAGTGCTCACAAAGTATCCCAAAGAGCCAGGTGTGATGGTGCACACCTTTAATCCCAGCAGCCGGAAGGCTGAGGCAGGAGAATCACTTTGAATTTGAATCCATCCTGATTTCATAGTGAGTTCGGGGCCAGCCTGAAGTGTTGAGTGAGTCCTTGTCTCAAAAACTCAAAAAAAAAAAAAAATCCCAAAAACAAACCCAAAGCACTCCAGATTCTGTGCATAGGGAAAAGCACTAAGCACACAGCACATGAGAGCAATCACTAACTTCTGTGGAAATACCAGTCTACTTCCTGCAAGCCACTGTGAGGTCTCGAGGCCTTAACGTCCCCAGAAGAGGGGCACAGTTGACACCTGACCTAGGTTTTTTTGTTGGTTAATAACCCTTGGTTATTTCCTGTGTTTTGGTTTTCTCTGCAAAGTCACCATGCCCACTGCAATGTGGGTAACTTTTCCCTTTTTAGAGGGCCAAGATCAGAAGAGAAGCCCTTGGGAGGAAGCTTATTTGCTAAGGAGAAAAATGGAGAGGTAACTAGTTTTGTGGCAACTGCCATTGGGCCACAGGCTAAGTCACCTGCAGGCTCCACCTCAGCAGTGCAGTAGGCAGTGTCACCATTTCACAGAAGCCAGAGAGCAATCTGCAGGGACTCTCAGCCGGGAAGACACATGTGGCCTCTATGCTGTGATCGTGGGGAGCCCAGCTGGCTTAAACTAGGCTGAGGGACATTTTCAGTCACTCTGCCATCTGACAAGGAATGGTGCAAGCAGAGGAGGACAGGGAAGACAGTCTAGGTATTGTCCCTCAGCGGAGGGAGCCCAGGAAGGAGAAATAGATGGGACAAGGGGACAGTAGTGGACACGAATGGGGCCCCGGCCCATGAGGTCAGAGACCTTGGGCAAAGGGAAGACACTCGGGACCCAAGAGTGAACCCCAGTGCAGCGAGCACCCTGCTGGGGCTGGGGAAGCAATCTAGAGCACAGGGCCAGCACAGAGTGGGACAGAATCCTAGGGACACACTCGGGGAGTTTACAGGTGGAAGCCACAGTCTTGTGAGGGCTCCCTCAAGGGGTGTCATAGAATAAGTGGGCTGGGAAGCAACTCTGTCCTGTGTGGGAGCAGACCGGGGGAGTCGGGGTATAGGAACAGAGGCAGAGGCCAGCGTGGGAGAGGGGGCTGGAGGGCTGGGTTGCATCCCAACAACGCAGGCATCTGTAGATACCATCTCGGGAGTCCGGGAAAGGACTTTTATTCTGACTGACCCATCAGTCAGAATAAAAGCCTGCCGGTGTTCTGTCCACAGAGAAAATGAGCTGCTGGGGATGAATGTGCCAGCTGTCTGGCTCCATATATAACCAGCACCACTTGCTTGCCTCGGTTCTGAAAGGGCCCTTCCTATTTAAAGGACCCAAGCCCTCCTCCTGCTTGCTATGCAGCTATCCGGGTAGGGCAGAGTGGGCGTCCCAACCAGGGAGCAGACAGCTCTGACAGGGGCCCATCCACCTCTGGCCCCTTAGCGGGGGTTGCACCATGGTGCCTAGGATGGGACGGGTGTTATTCACAATCTCGAGGAGTTGCCCTGAGGCCCTGCTTGGTTGGCCCTGTCCAGTGCAGATGCAAGGGGTCACGGCACCCCAGCGCCCTTGGCCTCCTCCCTGGGCAGCACTTCCTGTCACTGGGAGCCTTGGGCCATACCACGGTGGGGGAGGGGGCAGGACCAGGCTACAGAGCAGCAGAGGTCCAGGACGAACTCAAGACTGTGTTGGGCACAGCCACACTGGCTGGGAGACATGGCCTGGTGTTTTTAAAATTCTCATTGCAGACGCTTCAGAAGGCCGCTGGGCTGCATTCGCCGCTTTGTATCCTCCCAGCTGCCTCCTCCTTAGACCCAGAGCCTGTGCGGCAAGAGCCAAACTAGTACAGGTCCCAGCGCGGATGCCCAGAGTGAGGGCAGTGAGGCCGTGCACACCGAAGCCTCTCCATCCTGCTGCTGGGCCTGGGTCTTGGTGTCAGTGCCGAGAGCGACGGATGTCTCAGTGTACATTTCAACGCTACCACCGTCGCAGACAGCTGGTTATGTGTGCATACATGTAGGCACGTGCATAAACACATGCGTACCTAGGAACATGTGCGTGTGTAAGCGCATGCGCACCGATGGGCATACGAATGTGCATGTATGCACATGCGCACTGAGGGCCATATGCATGTGCGTGTGTAGGCGCACATGTAGCCAGGCGCAGGTGCACGCACACATGACTTCCCGTGAGGTGCAAGTCCCTGCTTTTAGTCTACTTAGCGTCGAAAGGAACTGGGACTTTGGGACCCTGACTGTACCAATAACCACTCTCTCACCTCAAAATGCCTCCTGCAGGAGCAGCGATGTGCCAGCCACCAGGTTAGGTGCCTGAGGCCTGAGGGAGGAAGTGCCAGGGCTTTTGGGTGGGGCGGGGAATGGGCAGTACGGGATTGAGGGCCGAGACGGGGCCACTCACCTGGCTGCAGACAGTCCTGACCCCGTGCAGTCTGTCCAGCGATTCCTGAGGGTTGCCCAGGTACTGCTGCAGCTCTGCATGCAGGATGCGCATGGAGAAGGGTACCATGGAGCCTGGAACAGAATCGTAGCTGCATCAGTCGCCCGCTGTGCCTGCCCAGGCAGTGAAAGGTGGCATGATACGGGAGAGTCCACCTGATTTCTAAATACCAGCAATTAACAACTCAGGTTACAGGCAGGGTACCACTCACATAAGCACCAAAGCAAAACACCCAGGAATAAATCTGAAAGATGTAATGAAGAGAATGAAATCTGCTGGGGGAAAGGAATCTGGGGTCCCAGTGGATGGACAGACCTTCACGTTCATGGACAGGAAGACGGAATGGTGTCAAGTCATTTCGTCAGGACTTGGTGTATAGATTCAAAGCAGTCCCAGTCAAAATCCCAACAAGTTGGTTGTGGATATTAAGAAGCCAATTCTAAAGTTTGTATGAGGAGGCAGAGAATCAGGAGCCACTGCACCTCGTGTGACCGCAAATGGCCCAGACTCAGCTACTGGGTGCTGCAGTTCTCACTGCAGGAGAGGGTGCACAAAGAGGAGGTGCCAAGGGCTGGGGTTGAACGAACTGCTTCGAGGGAGCCCATCGAGGCAGATGGGAATTGCCAGGGCCATGGGGGCACAGTGCTGCTGCTCTCCAGGGTGAAAAGACAACTTCGTGGTTTTACACCACTCTTCCTGTGTCTTGTGATGAATCCTCTGTGTAAAAATTGGGCCAGATATTTGAAATATATTCAACCTCATTCATAAAAGTTATTTATTTCTTTGTGTTGTTGTAACCTTTTAAAAGGACATTTTAATGACTTTCTTTGCTTATAGATTGCAAGCCAAAATGAAATGAATGAATCAAATTTTCAACGTTTATGCTTGTTACGCCACAGAATGCAAAGAAAAATTAGAAACATGCAGTGTATTATTGTGGATCGGAGTTCGCACACTTCAGCAAAAACATATGTATGATTTGTGTCCATTTCCTAATCTGAGTTAGCTGCTTAATGATGCATAGCTGGCCCCTTCTCTCCACCCAGCCCCCTGTGCAGATAGATTCATTTCGGGCCTCAGTGTCTGCACACCCTGGGAGGAAATGGCCTAATGCTGAGAAAGGACAGTGACTGCACTAGGCCTGTGGCCACCCTTCAGGGGAAACATGAACTACTTTCTCCCACAGCCCCTCTCTTGAGGATGGATAGACAGCCTGGGTTTCTTACAGAAAAGCAGAAGATGTTGTTTGTGAACTCAGCACAGGGTAAAGTAGCGGATGCAGCTGCTGTGCCAACTGCTGTTTTATGTTGCTGACCTGTGACGTCACTGCATCTTCAGGAGGAGACTGCATCCTTTGCTCATGCTGGTGCCTGGCACAGAGCTCTAGCTAACTTGCCCACAGTGGCACAGCGACTCAGCAGGAGCCAAGAGTGGCCGGGCAAAATATGGGTGAAGGGCCTGACTCTCGGGGACTTGAGAACCATCCCATGACCATCTTCTCCTCTTCTAGCATGGCAGATTCTGCTCTGCAGTCTGCCTTTTCTCCTCCTGGCCCCACGTCCTGCCCCTGTCCTGGAACCAGCCTCATGGTTGTGGCTGTGACCCTCTTGTGGGCCATAGCCAATTTTAAAAATCAGAATGGACATGAACAGGAAACAGTGTGTTGTGTTCCCATTGTGGGGCACCAGGAAGCATCCTGAAGCCTCCAGTCACACCCCATGCCAGGTCACTCTGCTGTCCTGGCTGTGCCTACTCAGTGACCCAAAGACCTGCCCTCAAGGACATCCAGGTTAGACCCTATATAAAACAGATTTCATTTTTTAGACTGGGGTGAGGAAAGCTGAGGATATCTAAATCTGCATTAATCAAAGCAAAGCAGAACTAAACATGCAGAGGTACTGACTTCACACTCCCAAGCCTTACCCCTGCGGCCAGGGTACACATGTGGGTAGTACTCATAGTACAGGTCTGGCTGGTCCAGATTCCCGAAGGGCTCAAATTCCATCTCGGCATTCTGGAAGAGGCCCAACTTCACTAGCAGTGCCAGCCTTACAAACCAGAGCTGAAACCCAAAGAATGGTAAAGACAGCAGGTTATGTCCAGGTGTGTGATCAGAACTCCCCTTTCCTTATTCACTTGCCCTCAGGCCTTGATATCTAATGCCCAGTGGTGGAGCTGGTTTTGTTCATCTGCATAAAGACACCCTAAATAGGGAGAGGGCAAAGCTTGGTGTGCTGTTTGAGGGATGATAGTGAAGGATCATGATCTCCAGGCCACCTGCTAAGCAGGAGGCAGTGCCAACACAAGTGGCCACGATGCTGCAAGTGGGCATTCCCAGCAGCCAAGACGTGGACACACTCAGGAAAGTGGCATGGTTCAGGTTAGTAAGAACAGCTGGAGACCTTCAGCACTGAAAGGTACCTTAGAGAGGACCTCAGCTGACCTGACCTCCACTGATGGAAAACTGAAGTTCACCATGTCCAGCACTGTACAGCCAGGCCCAGCCTCTGTGCTGCCCACTGCAGGAGGGAACCTCCTTGCCACCCTCTGGCCATACTGGTCTGTGGGAGGGAAGGAGGGCAGCTGACAAGAACCTTGAGGCCTGGTGGCTGTGCAGAGGCCAGAGCTCCAGAGGGCACAAGGAGACTGCAGTTCATGCAGGTGGAAGGAACACTCAAGTGATCAGGAATGGAAGAACTGGAGCAATCTCACCCAGAGATTCAACTCAGGACACGAAATCTGTAATTTGTTCTCAGATTGTCTTGATTGGCACGGGAGGCTGGCTGGTCCTTGAATTACGCCAAACCATGTAAACCTATAGTGCCCCCTAGTGTGTGTCCTGACCTGCAGCGAGTCTGTCGTGTGGCTGGTGGGCAGCCCGCTCTTGCCGTAGCCCTGACCGTGGGCTGTGAGGAGGCGTCCACACAGGTCGACCGCTGCCCTCCAGTTCCTGCAGTTCTGAAAGACAGAGATGGCATCATTACCACACGTGTGTGTACCAGCTTTGTAGGAAGTAGCCATCACTAGCCATCAGGCATCACAGCTAGGTCAGGCGCTGGCCCCCTGGCACAGAGGACAGCACCACTGGTCACTGCTGCATGTGTGATTGCACATTGAATGCCAAGTGCCAGGCCCAGCTGCAGATGACCGGATTACAGCAGCTTTTTTTTTTTCTTTTTTTGGAGACAGGGTCTCACTATGTAGCCCAGGCTGGCCTCCAACTCAAGGCAATCCTCCTGCCTCAGCCTCCTGAGTGCTGGAATCAAAGGCACGCACCACCACAACCAGTAGATCACAGCAGCATTACCCATGAACCACTGATGAACAGGACACAGGCAGGGAGTTCTTATCGGAAAGTGCTCCCTGCCCCCAACTGATAAAACAGCTTCTCTATGCTGTAATTAAAAATCAATAATTTAATTTTATCTGTGTGCAGGGACTACTGATTTTTTTTCTTTTTTTGTTCCTAACTGCACTACAGAATGGGTCTACTGATTTGTACCTGGAAAATTTGCATGGACTATAAAATCAGGGGTTTCAGATGTTCACCATTGCTGTTTGATCAATGAGTAAAATTGATAAGCTATGTGAAGGTGACTTGTCACCGCCAAATGGGACAAAATTGGGGAGAATTGAGGAACAAAGAGAAGAGAAGGGGCCGCCTGTGGTATGTGATCTCCAAGGAACAGGCCAGTTACTTCGCTTCTTCCCCAAGTTCCAGCTTTGTGCCGTGGCAGGAGTGTAGCCAGTGGGATTCCTCGGAGGTGTAGTCATTGCTAACTGCAAACTTCACCCAAGCCACCCAAGATTCACCTCTCACCCAGAAGACACCACCAGCCTCAGTGGGCAAAGTGGTGACCAAGCTCATCGACTGCTGGATCCAGTGAGAAAGCTGGACGGAGACTGGAGATCAGACAGGCCAAGGGAGAGGTCGCCACTCATGGGAGGCTGTCATACGCCTTCCCAAACATGGACTCCCACCTGGCCGGGTGCCCCAGCATCTTCTAAGTGCTGTGGTCACAGAGAACAGGGTCCATGGGGAAACAGTGACCCTTAGCTTTCATGAGGGGGTGCTGAGCCCTTGATGTGGGATTCCTGAGTGGGAACACAGGCAATCGACAGCTGCCCTGCCATCCAGAGCCTCTAGAGTCCACCTCTTTCTGGGGTAACACATGCAGACATTGACCAGCAGCAGACATTCAAAAAGAAAAAGTCTGGGCATATGGTGCTCGCCTGTCATCCCAGTGCTCTGAGGCACTGAGGGAGGAAGACTGAAAATTCAAGCCCAGCCTGGGGAACGGAAGGCCCTGGGTTCAACCTCTGTGCTGAAAAGAAGAAAAACTGAACAGTGAAGTAAAAATATCTTCTAGCTCTTCCCACGCAACATTGGTGTGTTCTTCCTAGTGCGAATCTCAGGTCACGGTGCTCGCTGCGAGGAGTGGTACCACCCTGCAGGACCACCCTGCTCTGCACCCACGCTGCCTGAAGTGGGTGTGTAAGCCTCAGTGAGCCTGCAGCTGCCCCTGCTATGCACGCCCAGCTGCCCTGGGTCACTCCTTTCTGTGGTGAGTGACATCTACTGAGTGGGCATGTGTGCTTGTTCACGAGTTCTGGGGTCGGTGAGGATGAATGAAGCTGTATCATCTGCAGATGTGGATGCCCACTCAGAGCAGTCTCTGCTGACGCTTCCAGTAGCTTTCCCCTCCGGGTGATGAGACAGGCGCTGTAAGCGCGCGCGCGCACACACACACACACACACACACACACACACACACACACACACGCAGCCAGGCTCTCTGCCCCTGAAGCTGTCCCCAGACGGTGCTGTTCACAGGCACTAGGCCTGTGGGCTTCCCCAGAAAGAGGCTGAGAACCACGGCACAACCCTGAGGACAACCCCGCACCTCTAACTGTCCAGATCCCAGCGAGACGATGCCAGGGAATGCAGGATTTCTGTGTTCTGGTTGGCAGCTCAGAAATATTTTTAGGCCGGTTAAGATCATTTACTTAAAATGATCTCCACATGCTTTCTCCACTCTTGAATTCAAGGCAGTAACTGCCTTACGTAATGCAAGTGGCTATGTATACTCTCTTTGAATTGCAAATGTGCAGAGAGAGGGAAAGATCCGCCACCCAGTGTGGACCTGCTCTGTGTCCAAGGCCCAGCAGACCCTGGTTCTTTGGTCACTCGCTATGGCCTCACTTGGGGTCAGCAGATCCAGCTGGCTGTCCTGCAGGACAGGCTGACCCCAAGGATGGGGATGCGCACAGGACGAGCTGGCTTTGGGAGTCAGAGGTGGGGGACTTTCAAAGAGGAAACAGTGGCAAAACTCAGGAGTGATGAGTGGGGGCAAGGGAGGGATGTGGGGACAAGGTGGGGGACACATGGCTGACAGCAGGGTGGCCACATGACGCTGGGAGCGAGCAGGAGACAGGGAGGCCAGGCCGTGGGCACACACACAGGCTTCCAACGTTGTGGATCCAGCTCATTGTGGTTTGAAAACCACGTGAGGAGTGACAGCCTCCCATGAGTGGTGACCTTTCCCTTGGCCTGCCTGCAGTATGTCAGGCTGTGAGGGGCCAGCAGGAAGTCCCCCAGCCCGGGACCGTGACCTGTGTGCAGCCTGAGGGCTACATGGGCCTTGTTATTTCCTCTGGTAACTGGAGCCAGCTGGGATGGTAGTGGTTCACATGCTGTTGCAGACAGTGACACAGGGGCTGGGATTTGGGTTGTTTTCATTGCATTTTTCCTATCAGTTACAGTTTACTGATCTTTACAGAACGCATAGAGCCTACTAAAGAGTAGAGATTCAGAAACCACAGGCCAGCACAGAGCTGGCAACAGGGCTGAGCTGTAGGGCAGGCAGTGCAGTGGAGCCCAGGCCAGGGACCATCCGGTGCAAGGATGTGGGGCAGATGCAGGATTCTGACTCATGTATCCAGGAGGGGGGAGTAGGGCAGAGACAGGGAGACAGAAGGGATACAGTCCAGAAATCCCAAATTGGGCTCAGTTCCTGGCGACGTGGAGCTGAGAATCCTAAGAAAGGTTAACAGCTGGATGTGCAGGGCTGACACTGAGGAGATGCAGGCAGGGCCAGTGCAGAGCAGAGAAAGGAGGTGCCATGAAATGGTCCAGGGGACTTTAGTGAGAGCCGGCTGGACGGAGACAGGGGCCAAAGCCAGCTGGAATGATCCTTGGGAGAACTAGGAGCAACCATGGGGTCAGAAGCCCAGAGAAGCCTGGGAGCTGCCAAGCTGTGAAGGGCGGAAAGAGGAGGCTAGGGCTGGGAAGGTCTGGGGGGTGTGCTTTCCTCCAGATCCAGAGTGTGGAGAAGCAGCACAGGAAGGATGGGAGGAAGGGCAGAAGAAAGGCAGAAGGGCTAATGTGGGGGTGTGGCAGCAGACAGATGGTTCAGGATGGAGACAGTGATGTGAGGCCCCCACACTGGACATTGCGTCCAGCAGGTCTGGGTGCTGGTGTGGGCAGGTGGGGCTTTAGTCCTCCAGGCTTGGCTGCAGGCTGGACCTGCTAGGAACCCAGGCTGCCAACTAGGGTTTGTCTGCAGTGAAAGAATGAAACTGCAAGTGGTTTGGGGTGGTAATGGGAGCTCTTTTGACCCTCTGAGTCATGGGAACCATGATGGGTAAAGAAAGTGAAAGAGTCAGGTGTTGGTGCACAGGGAGGACGATTAGTGGGCTGGGGTCCAACACAAACAGGCTGGCGTGGGACCCCGTGGGACAGAGCAGTGGCTGGGGAGGGCAAAGGTAAGAAGGGGCTCACAAGACGAGCTGGGGGTGATCACAGGGCCTTGGGAATGGGCCTGGAAGAAGTGGTCAGTCCCATGGGAGACTGGGGAGACTGAGGGTCCCGGTGCTGGCCAGGTATCCCCACCCAGAAGTTACTAAGCAAGGGCAGAAGTGAGAGAGCTACCAGCTGGATGCTCATTAGCCATTACTGGCTATAGCTAACACAGCCTATGGACACGGGGCAGGCTGGCTGTGGGGATGGAAGCATGTGCACACCCGCACATACATGGGGAGGATGTCAGCCCAGGACAGAGCCCTGTTGGCTGCTCACTGGTGAGGGTAGACAGGCGCTGTCCTTAGTGTGGGGGACAAGGGAGGAGCAGCAGGCCAGGCGATGGCGCTTTGGGGCCACCACCATCCTGTCATTTCTCACACTGGCCACTGTGGTCCTGCAGCATAGGTGCCTCGGCAGTGATAGCTGTGCTCATGTCATGCCCCGCAGCTGCTGCAGAGGTGCAGAAGATGGGCGTGGAGGGGAAAGCAAGCCACTGTGAATGGTGGAGTGCTCTCGCCTGCAGCCTCGTGGTTATCTTTAAACACATACTGGTGCACGTCCTCCCTTTCCTCAGCGCTTTCTTGGGGCCTTGAGCCTGTCCTTTGAAGGTGATTTTTAGTGACCCAGAAGACAGCAAAACCAAGGCGTGCATCCTTTGCAATGTTAGCCCCCTTGGGGTATCTGAAAAGGCGCCTGCTTTGTAAAAACCAGAGCTGATCGCTACCAGGACAGCACTTGGCGGGGCTGCAGGCACCCTGGACCAACCCAGGACCCCCTCCCAGGGTGCTGTCCAGGAGCTCCAGGTCAAGGTTTCTAGGATGGCACCACACTGTGACATCACCCCTGTGTCCCTTACAGGAGACGGTAAACCCAGACCCCCATGAATTTGCACTCAAGGATCCAACTTCCAGAGATGATGAGGCAAAGTGGGGCCTTCTGCAAAGCTCTCTGAGATGGGGTATGTGGCAGGGAGACAAAAGGAGTCCACCACAGATGAAATTTCAGCCACAAAAGTTATAAGGAGGAATGGTTAACACTACAAGGTGGGCTGGCACTGGGGAAGCTGAGGCAGGATGATCACCACCAGGCGTCTGAGGCCAGCCTAATCTGTGCCATGAGATTAACTCCTCTCCCTGATCCCAGATATTGCCTGGTT